AACTTTAAGAAACTGTAATACAATCACTTCAAAATAATATATTTAAGTCATTTGCTATTTTTTTAAAAATGTAAATACATAACACAATTTCCTAACTTATATACACTATACTTGGATTTTTCTCCCCCCACCTGCACAACAGAGGAGAGGAAGGTTATTTCTACCAGTATTCTAACAAATACATACTGGACTATGTAGAAAGCATGACTATGTTAAATATAGGCATCTCCTTCTTAGGTTAAAATTATTCAACATACAGGACAAACTCATTCCAAAGGTTAGTATATACTGAAGTCAGGTCTTGTTTATTATCTTTTTACTAATACTACTTACAGCTCCATCAGAAAATTGGATAAACTCACTAAATCAAATCAAATATTTCAGTATTTGGTTTTCTGTGCTATTTTTCATTTTGCTACTTATGAAAAATGTATCAACATTATTGGTCAGAGAAACAGTAAGTGATATAAATGATGGCAAAAGTTGTAATACAAGAGACTGAAATTTCCCTAACATTTCAATGGGAGAAATTAAAGCAGTTCAAACAGATAAATAGCAGTTTCTGAACCTATCATATGTCTACTTTTCTACAATGGGCGTAACACCATCTTAATATTAACATTTCATCATTAACATCTTGGTTGTTTTATAATTATTTTCTTGTAAAAACACTTCCTAAAAGGTTTACCTCATTGGACTGTGTTAGGTTCTAGTGGATAATTTTCCATTGGGAAACATAACTATATAAAGGGAATGAATGGAAATATGTAGAAAGCAAAGGAAATTCACAATAAGCTTTCAGTTAATAAATGAGACACTTGTACCAAAATAAAAAACAATGTTTTATATCACAAATCCGAAGCAAAATTATTTCAAATGATTATTTCAATTAATTGCTGAAACATCATCACTGAGTGAACTAATTTTTTACCCAATAAGGTCAGAAAACATTCAAGAAAGTTGACAAAATATAACATATTATGCTATAACTGAACATTTTCAGAGAAAAATTAGAGTATGGAATGTAAGTTTTCATGATATACACATTTATTATAAGTTCTAGATGAAAAATACTGAAGATTATTTTTGTTTTAATCCCAATATAAGAAAAGTTCATTGGCACAAATATCCAGAGGTATTTTACAGTTTCATTTAGCTTTGGTGGCAGAGTGTGTTTTGCTAACTATATGAAGTTATATAGTTCCCAAAGCAGAGCTTATGCCAAAAAGAAATCACATGTGTCTTTTTTCCTAAAAAAGGGATGTAAAAATTCCAATATGAAACAGAACAAGTACAACATGAAACACAAAATATGCCTATCATTTAGGCTTTTGAACAGTTAACAGCTGTATACTTTGTCTATAAACTTTACTAGTAATTTACTACTATATAAATACTAAAAAGCAAAATAACATTAAAAGACAGCATATTAACTTTACTAAAATGGCTACTTTCAGGCTTCCTAAACTAAGATTAGAATTCAAATACACAAACTTTCACTAATTATCAACAGACACTTTTTCGTAAATGTTCAAACTTGCAATGTACAGAACGATTACAGATTGATTTTGACTCATACATTTTAAGTCCTACAGAAAGTCATCAGAAGTTAACTGGTCGCTTGGTATTTCAAAACAGATGTTTTTGGCAGCATAAATGCCAAGCACTTGGCATTTAAACACTGTATTTGATTTAAAAATTATTAATTGCAGACAATTTAATCAAGACGTAGCTTAGAGAATCACCCAACTTTTGAAAAACATTGTTGATTTAGGTGTACTGTTACATTTATACTATTAATGGAATGACAGCTTATCTATTCTCTTTCCAAATATTATTCTGTTCTCAAAACTCAATTACTAACATATAAAATCCAGTCTTCTTTATTCACAATATCATTTATATAAAAATACAAATTCTTGAGAGTTCATACTATACATACTTGGATTTGGATTAATGAGCTGACTTTTCTTCGCCTATTATTCCATGAAAAGTAAAGAATGTGAGTAGTCTCAGAGATTTCTTACTTCCTCAGGTACTAAAACTTATCATGAAGGAATGCAGGAGTAATGTGTATAAGTGAAAGTTGACTGCAGAATTTCAACTGTTCTTTGCTCAAAAAGACTGGGATAAAATTTCAGGACCTAGTCATTTTACAATTTTGTAAAAATATCTCCTACACTTACATTTATTTGGTAAAGGAAGATTTCCTGGTCTAATTTCCCAAACAAAAATACTTTTATTGTTTCTTTATTCTGATGAATGTCATACTTTCCAAGTTGATTTTCCTCTTAATAAACTTCACAGGTATTTTGTTTCCTATGCTTACAAATCCTACAGATTGAGAAAGCAAAAAGTGATAATGAAAAATAATCAAGAAAAGCCTAGTCATAGTTCCAACACACTTTTGGATTTTTCCTAATTGACTTTAAAAGCTTGTTCCTAGAATTTCAAATGCAACATTCTAATGTTTTGCACTAAACTAAGCAATACTGCAAGACATTACACTAATTTAGATTTAACGCCTAAGATGAAAACAGATTTATCTGGGGATCTTCAGTCAACAGGCCTAGTTTATCTCATAGAATTGTGTTTGCCTTATTCTTCTGAGAGCTTTCAAAAAAAAACTGGAAGCTGGGCATAGTGGTACCTGTTTGTAATCACAGTTACTCAGGAGGCTCAAGTAGGAGGATGTCAATTCAAGCCAGCTTGGGGAAAGTTAGTGAGATCCTATCTCAAAACAGAAAATAAGAACAAAAAGACTGGGGAAACATCTTAGGTGGTAGAGGGCTTTCCTAGCCAAGTGTGAAGCTCTGGGTTTAATCCCCAGTTAAAAAAAAAAAAAAAGACTAAGATGAAAACTGACTTTTACTTTCCTTGACCCTGTTCCATAAGAGGTGCTAATGAATTGCAATATGAGACAAATCCCATTATCTGTAAATGAAAAGTCTGAAGAGTTAAGGAAAGTGTAGTGACTAGGCAATGAAACAAAAAATTTCCTTATACAAGTTTGTTGTGAAAATGAATGGTGCCTACATGAGTGGTAAGATCATCAACAAACATTTAGACCTACCTACTATCATTCTTTCTTTTTCCTTATTGTATAAACATATGCACCACCACACCTGCACAGGAGTTTCCTTTTTTTAAGTGATAGAAATATTAATTTTGCTAATCTTCACACAGACTCTACATCCTCATTTCTAGTAGCTATTTGCATCTACAAAGCTTGACAAAGGCCCTTAGATATATTTATCTGTGTATGTGTGTGCGCATGCACACATCAAATGATTAAACCTACCACTGTTTGTAAGATGTTTAATTAGACACTGTTTTATAGTCCTTGAAATATTTCACTGGTGTAAGTATATGCACACAGAAATATTTTAGTGAGAATTAGGGTGCTTAGTCTGGTTCTTTAAAAGCAAATGTACTACTCATGAGTGAGAAACTCAAGTCTGTTACATTTATTCATGAGCAGTACAGACTAAACAAACAGACTTTAGATCTCATAAACATAATGATTATGGCTGTTAATAGAAGATCCAAATTAGTTCTTTCTGTATATGGACCTAAGTTCAAATTCAGAAAAAGACTTGAGACTTAACTATAATATCAATGGCAAAACAAAGGATACCATGTGTATAAAAGTGCTGTATATGTATGGTCCTATATAGGCAGATGTGTCCTATTTCATATCTATGTAGTATGATGAGACAAGTATATAATTAATAAATTCTCTTTCCTCTCAGGTACTGAACACATGAGCACTATGTCGTTTATTCCTTGTGCTACTACTCTGAAACAAACAAGAGCCTGGAATGTCTGCCAAATCTACTATGGCAGTTATCACTTCCCTTCAATGGTCTAATTAGGTGAAAATATAAATACTGAACAATAAGACATAAACGGAATCATACAAACTTACAAACATCAAAGGTGATAGTGAGAACCTCTTCAATTAATGATGAAACAGCAAGGACATGAGGAAGAACTAAGAGGAGAAATGAAGTAACTCACACTGGAGTGAGTAAAGAGGGAGTAACCCTCTACTAGGCAGTAACAGTTGAAAGGCTGAGATGGAACACAGACAAAATGGTGGATAAAAATGAAACTGATTCTCTAGGACATCCCTGGCAACTAATGAGGTCACATGTTCACAATTTCAACTGTGGAACCATGAAACTCAATGACTTTACTTGGGAGGTTTTGGTTATTTATAGTACACACATCTAAATGCAAAACTCTACATGTTAGGTATACCATAACCTGAGTTCATGCTAACTGAAAACAAAGAATACTTGTAACTCTTCTATCATGCTCCATTAACCTTCTTCCTAATCTTTTGTAAAAAGTGAACCAAAATTTGAAATGAAATAGAAACATAAACTTAGATCTCTACATGGGCAAATGAAGATTCCACTGTTAAACCTAGGGCTGAAGTTTTCCAATTTATTCAGATGTTCTGCTTACATTTATGGTATCAATAGAGTAACAGCTGGGTAATGCTACCCCCATTAGTAATATAATTTTATATGTCAAGTCTGATACCATACTTGATTATGCTGATTTTCCCACTTTAGACAAAAATGGTGTAAGCTTAGAGCTGTTTCCAACCACTGGAAATCAGTTATTTTAACAACCTATTATTACCTGACTCACTTTTGGCAACCATGGGGACAATGAATTAAATCACATGGTATAAAAACTGAACAAATGAACTGCTCCAATGCCAGTAAGTTAATACCTGTGAGAATATTCACTCTTTAACAGATCTCTTTAATGGTCTTCTGATAGTCACCAAGAGTACATAATAAGATTCATACTTGAACATTATAAGAAAACTTCATTGCTTTGAATTTGAACCACGCTTCCATCCATCAATCTTACAGTAATTACCAAAAAAGGCATGTCTCCTTATAATTTAAGGCTCTATTTTCAAAGATGTAAGAAGACAGACAATCTCCCTTGTTCACCATGGCTGCCAAAACCTGACCAAATGTTCTCTGTGGCTATTTTCCTTTTGAGAAACCAAATAGATGTGAATTTTGTCAATGTTTTAAGACTTATTTTTCATTATATAAACTATAACAAAGATAAAACAACCCACTTTTCAAAAGCAAGTCGGATGAAATAAGCAGAATGCTTTACATGAGATTATAAACAATGATTCATCTACTGAGTCTCTAGAAGACCCCTAGTATGGTTGATGAAGCAGACTACTTGATATGCACAGGAGTCCTCAAAGATAGTGACCACCAGATCCCTTCACTAATTCTTCAAAACTGATTAGTACACAAATGCTACACCACAGAACAAAATCATGCTTATTTCTTTAAGTATTACAAAACTAATTTCCTATTTTCAATACTGTAAAAATAGACTTGTCTTCTGAAGAGACCTTGCTGTCCATGTTGGTAGATCTGTGTGTTCACTCATATTATAGGCTCCAAGGCATAAATCATTTTTACCATTTAAGTCCAATCTTACATAAAGTTGCATAATGCATGGAGTAAAAGAGGAATGAAGACAAAGCATGGAACCCTATATAAATGTGCTGAGCCAAAAGCAATCACACCAACAGCCAGAGGAAGTAGAAATTGTGAGGCAGTCTTCAACAATTTACTGTGAAGAGACAAAGAAATATACATTATTATGTAAACTACACTGTGAGTTAAAATGAAATATGTCAATCTTTTATATAGTTTTTGGAAAGATAAGTGTTCCAAGTGATTTTAAATGAACTTTTTATGCAATTGAAAAAATACCTATCAATAATTTTTAAAAGGTCAATAAAAGACATATTTTGTCTAGAAAAAGAAAAAATATTTCTATTTAGAGAACAGCCATTTTTTTTACTCTTAAAATTTTAACAGAAAAATACTACTTGGATTTTTCAGCAATTTGACCATTAAAAACTTACCCAAACAAAAGTAATGTTCACTAAGACACAGCTACAGAAATGTTTATTTTAATCCCAGTCAAAACAAAAAAACAAGCAAACAAAAAAGGGACCATCTTTACTTCCAAACAAAAGGAACATATAAGTCAAGACACTACGTATTTTTAAGGGAAAACTATATTAAGGAAAACCTATGATCTTTTTACTTTGAAAACAGAGAAACTGAGGGTAAGAGAGATTAAGAAACTTATCCAAGGACAAAGAGGTATGAAATGGCAAAGCTAAGAGTTAAACCTCAGGTCTGTTTGTTTCCCAGAATAATAATTCCAGAATTAACAAAAAAGGCTCCCAGAGCAAAAAAAATCAGTGAAAGAAAAGTTAAATTTTTGGAGCATCTCATAGTAACTCTTCATGTACCTATTATCCAGCTACAACATGGTCAAATCATAGCCAATGTTATTTCACCTGTACCTCATTTATTTCCATTCCCCCTGTACTTTTTGGAAGTAAATCTTAGATAACATATATTTAAGGGTTAACTTTAGAATAATTTATTTTTTCACAGTACTGGGGTTTGAGCTCAGAGCTTCACACTTGAAAGGGAAGAGCTCTACACTTTGAGCCATGCCTCCAGCCCTTTTTGCTCTGGTTATTTTGGAGATAGTCTAGCTTTTGGCTGGGGCTGGCCTGGACTTCGAACCTGCTGGTCAACAGTGGAATGACAGGTGTACACCACCATTGCCAGCTGTTTTCCATTGAGATAGGGTACTGAAATCTTGAAACTGTGATTCTCCCAATCTCAAGTCTCCCAGGTAACTTGGAATGACAGGCATGTACCACTATATCCAGTTAAAGGTTGAGATGGGGTCTTACAAATTCCTTGCTCGAGCTTGCCTCAAACTGCACTGCAATCCTCCCAATTTCAGCCTCTTAGAATCTTATCTTTTTAAGGGTTAACTTTTCAAAGAAAAATAAATTATAACAATTAAAACCTACAATTAAGAAAATAAGAAGTGGGGGTGTGGTTAAAGTGGTAGAGAGCTGAGTTCTACTCTAGTACTCAAAAAAATTCCTAACCCCCTCGAAAAATAACAACAAAAAAAAAACCCAAGACAATATATTTGCATAGAAACTGTACTTGCACATAAACCATAATACTGCTATGGCTTTACTTTTAGGAATAGTCAAATTAAATTAAATGCAAATAAAGAGTATGTTTCAGAAATAAAACCAGTGATAAATGCCAGGAATCAATTTGAAAAAAACAAAGAGTTTAAACTGCTATACCTTGACTTTATTGAAACTGTGTAAGTATTTCCAAGAACTGCCATAGTTGGAATAAGGACAAATGCCAAAGGTTTACATGGATCAGGGTTAAGTTTAAAATAATACCTAAAGTAAAAAAGAAAAATAAAACAAATCAACAAAGCATAACTAATCATTTTAAATGATCAGAATCAAACAAATCAGTAATTTTCAAAACATTACACTAGCGATATGGATTCAAGAGAGCTCTAAACAGTTCATGACATCTCTACTAAGTAATTCTTGCCTACATTATCCTTATACTCAAGGTTTTATATGGAGAATTTTGTTCAGAAACTCCTACAGGAAATAAAAATACCCAGTATGGAAGCACTTCCTTAATAGTGTATGTGAATATACCTAAAAAGCCATATAGTTTCTTAAATAAATTATTTAAAATATATTAAGATGGTTCCATAACAAAACACATAAAATGGAGGTATATATAAAATAACTGCTCCCTATCTTTTAAAAATTCAAAATCTCATCTCTTGCATTACTGTTTACAATCTATCAGAATCCTAAGTTTGTGCTATTCAAGTAATTTTGACTATAAATCTGAATGAAAATCTGTGTTTTTTTGTTTGTTTTCTGGTACCAGGGCTTGAACTCAGGGCCTACACCTTGACCCACTCAACCAGCTCTTTTTGTGTTAGGTATTCTTGGAACAGGGTCTCCCCAGTTATTTACCCGGGCTGCCTTTGAACTGAGATCCTCCTGATCTGCCTCCTGAGTAGCTAGGATTACAGGCGTAGTCACCAGCACCCAGCTCTGAACAAAAATCTGGACCTTAATTAAAATGAGGCACAAAAGGAGGATATTAACATCTGGTAACCTTTGGTTTAGTTTATTGAAATTTTCGTTCTAATAACTTAATACTTTCAATACTAAAAAAATATGAAAGCATTATGTCATTTTTTGTTTAGGGGTTCACCTCTAAGATGATGGGAGAAACTAGTACATACCTCTTAGTAATAACCGTATACATAAACAGTCTTAGTTCTTTAATTAAAAAATGGAGAATGGATGAATAGATGAAAAAGCAAGATCCAACTGCTTGCTGCCTCACTGGCAGAGACCCACACAAACTAAAAATGAAAGGATAGAAAATGATATTCTGAGCAAATGGAATCTGAAAGCAAGCTAGAGTAGCTGTATTCATGATAAAGCTGATTTCAAGCCAAAAGCAGACACAAGGGATAAGGAAGGTCTCTACATATAAATAAAGGAAACATCCAAGCACTGGTGGCTCATGTCTGCCACCAGGAGGTAGAGATAAAGAGAATCATGGTTCAAAGCCAGCCTGGTCAAATAGTTCATAAGACCCAGAGCACCTGCCTAGCAAGTGTGAGGCTCTGAGTTCAAACCCCAGTATTACCAAAAAAAGAAAATGGGAAATAATCCATGAGAAAAAATGATTGTAAATATATATGCATAAAATAAGGATATACCCAATTTCATAAAACAAATAGTACTGGACATAACAGGACAAATAGGTCCTGATATAATAGTGGGTTACTTCAATATTCCATTCTCAACAAAAGATCAGCCAAACAAAAAAATCAACAAGGAAACTAGAGTGTTAAACTGCCCAATCAATCAAATGGACTTAACAGTCATATTTCACCCAATAGCTACAGAATACACATTCTTCTCAGCAGCCCATGCAACTTTCTCAAAAATGCATCACATTTTAGATCATAAAGCAGTCTTAACAATAAAAAGCAGCTCAACAGATCATAATGGAATAAAATTAGAAATCAACAGCAAAGGAAGATTCCAAGATGGCAACTAGAGAGAGGAAGCACAGAGCGTGCTTCCTAAAGTAAACTCTTGGAGAGATGCTGGATATACACCTAGCAGGAAAAACTACCAAGAAGAGGCAAAACTCCGACACCTCCACACCTCCAGCCCACGCATAGCACCTGCCCCTGCCACATTAAACAGAGAAACCAGGAGGACTCCCGCATCGCCAGACGCCAGCTCCTACCCTGCTTGGGAGACCACCAGAACTACTACTCAGACACCAACACCAGGACTGGATGCTGAAGGACTAACACCAAATCTATTAAGACTGAAACTTTATTGCATTTGAACTTGGGAAATTTATTTATTTATTTATTTTATTATCATTATTTTTTTTATCCTCTCTCTCTGTCTTTCTAATGCCTCTTTAGCTCACTGTTGGTTAGTACACTATCTCTCCCTGTTTATTTCTTTGGCTCTGTTTTTTGTTTTGCTTTTTTCCCTTTTTGTTTACCTTCTTTGCTTTCCCTCTCCTCTCACCCTTCCATTCTAGATATCACCATCATTACTATTGTAAGCTAGAAAATACTGAATTACACACAATACAGGGACAGTAACAGTAGCAAGGGCAATGGTAGGAAGACAGAAGAAAGAGGGAAACCATTTTCCCCCCAATAATAAATTAGTATAGAAACCAGAAGGAAATGAAGAAAACAGATGCCCAGATCCAGACTCCAACAAAATGAAGATAAACTATGCCAAAGAACCCAATGAAACACACAAGAACACCCTGAAAGAAGAAATCCTGCAATTAATCAATGAGAATTTTATAGAGATGATACTGGATATGGTCAACCAAAATGTACAGGAGACACTCAAGAAATTCCAAGGCAACAAAAATATAGATTTTGAGAAAGCACAAGAACAAATAAAAGAAAGTATAGAAGAATTGCATAAACACCAAAGTGAAACAAAGAACATGATAAATAAAGAGATAAATGAACTCAAATGCAAAACAAAATGGAAGGTCAATCCAGCAGAATAGAACAAGCAGAAGACAGAATCTCAGAACTCAAAGATGAAATGGTAATTAAAGGAAAAACTGAAGAACTATTAGTTAGAATAGTTAAAATTAATTAGTTAAAATATAAGAAATAACTGACTCCATCAAAAGACCAAACCTGAGAATCATGGGCACTGAAGAAGCAGAAGAGGTGCAAGCAAAAGAAATGTGTAATATATTCATCGATAGAAATAAGCATAGGCTTAGGATGAAAGGTTGGAAGAAGATTTACCAAGACAATGCCCCCCACCCCCGAAAACAGGCAGGAGTAGCAATACTTATCATGGATAAAGCAGACTTCAAACCTACATTGATCAGAGATAAAGAAGGACATTCCATACTCATAAAAGGGGAAATAAACCAAATGGAAATAACAATATCAACCTGTATGCACCCAACGTCAACACACCCAATTTCATCAAACATACCCTGAAGGACCTAAAAGCACATATTAGCTCCAACACAGTGGTCGTGGGAGACTTTAACACCCCACTATCATCAACAGATAGGTCATCCAAACAAAAAATCAATAAAGAAATCCTAGATCTAAAACATACCATATATCAAATGAACCTAGGTGATGTCTACTGAACATTTCATCCAACTTCTACACAATATACATTTTTCTCAGCAGCCCACGGAACCTTTTCCAAAATAGATCATATCCTAGGGCACAAACCAAGCCTCAGAAATATAAGAAAATAGAAATTATATCAAGCATTCTATCTGATCACAATGCAATAAAACTAGAACTCAACAACAAAAATAAAGACAAAAAACATGCAAACAGCTGAAAACTGAATAACTCATTGCCTAATGAACAATGGGTCATTGATGAAATAAAAGAGGAAATTAAAAGGTTCCTGGAAGTCAATGAAAATGAAAGGAACCTATGGGACACAGCAAAGGCATTCATGGCTATAAACTGAGAGGAAAGTTTGTAGCCATGAGTGCATATATTAAAAAGACTGAAAGATCTCAAATCAATGACCTAATGATACATCTCAAACTCCTAGAAAAACAAGAACAAGCAAATCCCAAACCAAATAGGAGAGAAATAATAAAAATAAGAGCTGAAATCAATGAAATAGAAACCAAAAAAAAACCATACAAAGAATTAATGAAACAAAAAGTTGGTTCTTTGAAAAAATAAACAAGATAGATAGACCCCTGGCAAACCTGACTAAAATGAGGAGAAGAAAAACCCAAATTAGTAGAATCAGGAATGCAAAAGGGGAGATAACAACAAACACCATGGAAGTCCAGGAAATCATCAGAGACTACTTCAAGAACCTATATTCAAATAAATTTGAGTATCTTAGAGAAATGGACAGAATTCTAGATATTTATGATCATCCAAACTGATCCAAGAGGACATTAGTCACCTGAATAGATCTATAACACAAAATGAAATTAAAGCAGCAATCAAGAGTTTCCCAAAAAAGAAAAGTCCAGGACCTGATGGATTCTCTGCTGAATTCTATCAGACCTTTAAAGAAGAACTAATACCAACACTCCTTAAACTGTTCCACGAAAATAGAAAGGGAAGGAAAACTGCCAAACACATTTTATGAAGCCAGTATTACACTTATCCCAAAACCAGGCAAAGACACCTCCAAAAAGGAGAACTATAGGCCAATCTCCTTAATGAACACTGATGCAAAAATCCTCAATAAAATAATGGCAAACCAAATTCAACAACACATCCAAAAGATCATTCACCACAATCAAGTAGGCTTCATCCCAGGAATACAGGGATGATTCAACATATGCAAATCAATAAATGTAATATACCACATTAACAGAAGCAAAGACAAAAACCACTTGTTCATCTCAGTAGATGCAGAAAAAGCCTTTGATAAGATCCAACACCATTTCATGATAAAAGCTCTAAGAAAACTAGGAATAGAAGGAAAGTACCTCAACATTATAAAAGATATATATGACAAACCTACAGCCAGCATTATACTTAACGGTGAAAAACTGAAACCATTCCCTCTAAAATCAGGAATGAGACAAAGTTGCCCACTATCTCCACTCCTATTCAACATAGTACTGGAATTCCTAGCCAGAGCTATTAGGCAAAAAGAGGGAATAAAAGGAATACAAATAGGTAAAAAAAACTGTCAAAATATCCCTATTTGCAGACGATATGATCGTATACCTTAAATACCCAAAAAACTACTCAAAAGCTCTTAGACACCATCAACAGCTATAGCAAGGTAGCAGGATATATAATCAACATAGAAAAATCATTAGCATTTCTACATACTAATAATGAAGAAACTGAGAAGAAATATATGAAGACAAGTCCATTTACAATAGCCTCAAAAAAAATCAAATACCTAGAAGTAAACTTAACAAAGGATGTGAAAGACCTCTACAAGGAAAACTATAAACTCCTGAAGAAAGATTGAGGAAGACCATAGAAAGTGGAGATCTCCCATGCTCGTGGATTGGTACAATCAACATAGCAAAAATGTCTATACTCTCAAAAGCAATCTACATGTTTAATGCAATTCCCATCAAAATCCCAATGACATTCATTAAAGAGATTGAAAAATCTACCATTAAATTTATTTGGAAACACAAGAGACCATGAATAGCCAAGGCAATACTCAGCAAAAAGAACGCTGGAGGTATCACAATACCTGACTTCAAACTATATTACAAAGCAATAGCAATAAAAACAGCATGGTACTAGCACAAAAACAGACATGAAGACCAGTGGAACAGAATAGAGCACCCAGATATGAAGCCACACAACTATAACCAAATTGTCTTTGACAAAGGCACTAAAAATATACAATGGAGAAAAGACAGCCTCTTCAACAAAAACTGCTGGGAAAACTGGCTAGCAGTCTGCAAAAAACTGATACTAGATCCATGTTTATCACCCTATACCAGTATTAACTCAAAATGGATCAAGGACCTTAATATCAGACCCCAAACTCTAAAGTTGGTACAGTAAAGAATTGGAGATACTTTGGAACTAATAGGTATAGGCAAGGACTTTCTCAATGGAACCCTAGCAGCTCAGCAACCAAGAGACAGCATAGACAAATGGGACTTCATAAAACTAAAGTCTTCTGCCCAACAAATGGTCTCTAAACTGAAGAGACCACCCACAGAGTGGGAGAAAATATTTGCCAGCTACACATCAGACAAAGGACTGATAACCAGAATATACAGGGAACTCAAAGAACTAAACTCTCCTAAAATTAATGAACCAATAAAGAAATAGGCAAGTGAACTAAACAGAACTTTCTCAAAAGAAGAAATTCAAATGACCAAAAAACACATGAAAAAATGCTCACCATCTCTAGCCATTAAGGAAATGCAAATCAAAATCAAACTAAGATTCCACCTCACCCAGTTAGAATAGCCATCATTAGCAACACGACTAACAACAGGTGTTGGCAAGGATGCGGGAAAAAAGGAACCCTCTTACACTGCTGGTGGGAATGTAAACTAGTACAACCACTCTGGAAAAAAATTTGGAGGCTACTTAAAAAGCTAAACATGGATATGCCATATGATCCAGCAATACCACTCTTGGGGATATACCCAAAGGAACTGGACACAGGTTACTCCAGATTGCACCTGCACATTCCATGTTATGCAAGCACTATTCACAATAGCCAAGTTATGGAAACAGCCAAGATGCCCCACCACTGACGAATGGATTAAGAAAATGTGGTATCTATACACAATGGAATTTTATGCAGCCATGAAGAAGAACAATGTTATCATTCGCTGGTAAATGGATGGAATTGGAGAACATCATTCTGAGTGAGGTTAGCCTGGCCCAAAAGACCAAAAATCGTATGTTCTCCCTCATATGTAGACATTAGATCAAGGGCAAACACAACAAGGGGATTGGACTATGAGCACATGATAAAAGCGAGAGCACACAAGGAAGGGGTGAGGATAGGTAAGACACCTAAAAAACTAGCTAGCATTTGTTGCCCTTAACGCAGAGAAACTAAAGCAGATACCTTAAAGCAACTGAGGCCAATAGGAAAAGGGGAACAGGTACTAGAGAAAAGGTTAGATCAAAAAGAATTAACCTAGAAGGTAACACCCACGCACAGGAAATCAATGTGAGTCAATGCCCTGTATAGCTATCCTTATCTCAACCAGCAAAAACCCTTGTTCCTTCCAATTATTGCTTATACTCGCTCTACAACAAAATTAGAAATAAGGGCAAAATAGTTTCTGCTGGGTATTGAGGGAGGGGGAGCGGGAGGGGGTGGAGTGGGTGGTAAGGGAGGGGGTGGGGGCAGGGGGGAGAAATGAACCAAGCCTTGTATGCACATATGAATAATAAAAGAAAAATGAAAAAAAAGAAAAGAAAATGTGGTATTTATAACCAATGGAATACTATTCAGCCATGAAGAAGAATGAAATCTTATCACTTGCAGGTAAATGGATGGAACTGGAGAACATCATCCTGAGTGAGGTTAGCCAGGCCCAGAAGACCAAAAATCATATGTTCTCCCTCATATGTGGACTGTACATCAAGGGCAAACATAAGGGGACTGGATTTTGATCACATGATAAAGTGAGAGCACACAAGGGAGGTATGAGGAGGTAAGAAACCCAAAAAAAACCCCAACAAGATAGCATTTGATGTCCTCAATGCAAAGGAACTAATGCAGAAACTTTAAAGCAACAGAGGCCAATAGGAGAAGGGGACCAGGAACTAGAGAAAAGGTTAGTTCAAGAAGAATTAATTCAGAATGTAACACATATGTACAGGAAAGCAATGTGAGTAAACTCCCTGTATAGCTATCCTTATCTCAACTAGCAAAAACCCTTGGTTCTTCCTATTATTGCTTTTATTCTCTCATCAACAAAATTAGAGCTAAGGGCAAAATAGTTCCTGCCTGGTAGGCAGGGGGTGGGAGGGAGAAGAAGGGGGTGGGGGAAAGGAAGGGAGCAGGGGGGAAGGGGAGAGAAATGACCCAAACATTGTATGCACATATGAATAAAAGAAATTAAAAAAAAATAAAAGAAATCAACAGCAAAGAACTATAGAAATCACACAGACACATGGAGATTGGAACAATATACTTCTAATGGTGGGTTGCTGAAGAAACGGAGAAATTTTTAAATTCCTAGAATTAAATTAAATGAAAGTACACCATACCAGAACCTACGGAATACAGCAAAGGCAACTCTCAGGTGGAAGTTTATAGCAATGAGTGGCTACATTAAAAGAGACATCTCAAATAAACAACCTAATGATGCACCTTGAGACCTTAGAAAAATAAGAACAAGCCAACAAGTCAAACCCAAACTTAGTAGACAGAAAGGAATACTAAAGACCAGGGGATGAGGAGTAGAAGAATACAATAGATCAAGGAAACAAAGTTGGTTCTTTGAAAGATAAACAAGATTGACAAACCATTGGTCAAACTAACAAAAAAGAAAGAGAAGATTCAAATTAACAAAATCAGAGATGAAAAGGGGGTATTATAAAAGATACCAAGAAACTCAGAGGATCATTAGGGAATATTTTAAAAACATATACTCCAATAAACTGGAACTTCTAGAACAACACAATAAATGTCTAGACACAGATGACCTACCCAAATTGAACTAAGAGATTATAAACCTAAACAGAACTATAACAAGCAATGAGATTCAAGCAGTACTGAAGAGTCTCCCAACAAAGAACAGCCCAGGAAGATGGATTCACTGCTGAATTCTACCAGACCTTTAAAGAACTAACACTAATTCTCCTCAAACTGTCTCACAAACTAGAACCAAAATCAGATAAGGATATAACAACAACAACAAAAGAATACTATAGACCAGTTTCCTTCATGAACATAGTAATGGGACTGGAGATCATCATGTAATGAGAAATAAGCCAGATTCTCAAAGACAAATACTGCAGAGGCTAGGTTAAGGAATCAAAAAAAAAGAAAGAAAGAAAGAAAGAAAGGCATGAAAGGAGAAAAGATACTATTTGGGAAGAGGAAAGAGGCCAGCAGGAGGAGGCAGGACAAGAGAGGATAATAGGGGAATGACTATGATCAAAACACTTATATATGAAAATGTCATAATGAAACCCATCATTTTGTACACCTAATGTATGCTAATAAAAATAAGTATATACTCTTAATTAAAACGTTTTCTAAAAGTACACTTTTTTCCTGATTTTTTGGGGAAATTTGTATTACCAAGGTTTATATTCTTATGGTAAATGAGGAAATGTGAATGTATTAAAAATAAATAAAAAACAGATTCCTGTTCCCAAGCAATTTTCATGAACAATGAGGAATCTAGCAAGTCTCTACTTACAGATATTTATTGTCTGAACCACATAAAAATACTTCTGTGAGTAAACGCACCTAAGATTCTTTAACCAGTAAATGAAAGATGGCATGCTGAGCAATGCAATCCACGTTAGTAAGTTAATCACAGGGCTGTGCATGCGAAGGCTATCTTCAGCATCATTAGCAGATAAACGAAGGTGGTGCACACAAGAGTCTTTGTGGTGACTGGATTTTTTTTCACTTCTTTTAGCGTGTTTGGGATTCTATAAAGCAATAAAGTAAAAATGTCAACATACTAAGCTAACAAAAGTAATTTAATATTTTATTTAGAATGGTACTCAATTAACTTCATCGCTAAGTAGGTACATCTTTTCATTATCAAATAAAATATCAAAATTAACTTGTTTAAAACTACTTGAAAATGGTTATGGTTTTAACGTTTATTCTTTTTATTTTACTTGAGATGGAGTCTTGCTATGTTGCCCAGGCTCTCAACTCCTGAGATCAAGTAATCCTCTTGCCTCAGCCTCCTAAGTGCTGGGATTACAGGTGTGCTGCTATGCCCAGCTATATTCTTTTAACTTGCTATTTTCATTCCTGAGACTACATCCTCTAAGAATTATGCAAAATGAAATTTAAACCATAATAAATTGTAATAACAAAATGACATCGGTACTGACAAAGATCAAATTAAATTTAGAACAATTTAAGTATATTTTAGTATTTCTTTGCTTTCTTTTCTTAAATTCATAAAAGTTTTTAAGAAACATCCTAATGCTTCTAAAAAAGAGTCCTATTTTCTCATGTTCTTTCATATTAAAAGTTATGTAGAGTTTTGAAAATAAAACTTACCACTTGTTGACTATTTTTAAAAGTTGTTAGACTGGCTTGCAGATGAACAATCTAAGAAAAAGAAATTACTTTAATTTTACTTGTATTTGGAAATAAAAAGTACAGGCTTTTCTTTTAAATGAAAACCGAAGGGGTATAATCTGAAATTTAAAATTTAAACCAAAATTTCATTTAAGCATGTAAAAACATTCTTCTATGAAAGATAAAATAACGAATGCTTACTATCATGGATTAAAAAGACAGAAATGGAAACAAAACAAAACAAACTTCCAAAGTTTATATAGATACTAGGTATACCTATACCTTTTATACCCCTGACCCTATTTGAATGATGCCTAGCTATATCAAGTTTACATGTCTTATAGGTCAAAGATTTGATTATATTCAATACAACATAAAATAATTCAATTGTATATAGGAATAACATGTTAATTTATGAGGTTTCCTTCAAATTAAGTATCTGAGGAAGTTTTGTTTATTGGTTAATTGTTAGAAATACCTAATAAAAAACTCCCAAAATATCCTATTCTACATTAAAGTAACTCTGTTTATTCAGATGCACAATATTAACAATATTTTGTTAATATTTTATTATCTCACCATAAAAATTTGACCTCAACTAACAAAACTTATTGTTTTTTCTCATTCATCTTTAGCAATGTGAATAAAACCGTTCTAATAAAATGTTTAAAAAGTTAACATTTGCAAGGGCAAGAAGCAACCTAAAAGAGATCCTACCTTTTCTTCTGTTTTTTAAAACAAAAAACAACTTAGACCAATAATTTCAGTTCTATCCTTAACTGACCTTAAACACATAGTAAAGATAAGAAAGAAGTATGGCGAGCGCTCCACACGTTGTCCAACTGACTATAATCAAAACAACTGTCAAAAAGGGTAAGTCTGGTGATATCACCTTGATATCTTTAGGAAGTTCAGAGGGTCTGGAATAAAAAAAATAAAATTTAAAAATATAGCAAAAGATGTATTTATATAGTCACAGATAAGGAAAAAACGATATATAGACTGAGCATCTCTAATCTGAAAATCCAAAATATGAAATGCTTCAGAATTTGAAACTTTTTCCATGCCAACATAATGTCACAAGTAGAAAATTCTATACCTGACCTCATATTCAAAATGCAGGTACATTAAGAATATTGTGTAAAATTATCTTCAAATTATATAGAGAGAGTACATATGAAACATAAATGAATTTCTTGTTTGGACTTTGGTGCCACCCTCAAGATTTCTAATTATGTATATACAAATAGTCCAAAATCCAAACACCCGTCATCCCAAGCACTTCAGGTAAAGGATATTGAACCTGAAGCACTTCACTAGCCTCTCCTGCTTATTAATATGTAACTACTATGAGGTAAACAGTAGTAAACATTCTTAAATAAAGGCACTAGTCATATACATTTGATTTCTTAAGTTCTGAAACACACTGACAACTCATTTTTCATTCAGACATACTATGGCTTATAGTCGTTTGTACTAAGGGGAAAAAACACTGCCAAAGATGACCATTAGTTACAGAGTCTATGCCATACATCTCCAGTCTTGGTGGGAAGAAGAAATTTCCATTGTTTAAAGCCTTGAGATCAACATTCAGATGCTTGAAGGTGTTACTGTTGGAAACCTGTCAGAAGGACCCAGAAAAGTGGACCTGCTCCATAACCCCATGACATAAACCACATAGTACATCTTATATGGAAGAGAAATGGAAACTAGATTGGTGTTTTATCAGAAAAGCCTGCCAGTAACTTTAGATTCAAACTATGTTATTGGGCCTACAACACAACTGTATGCAGTGTTTTCAGAGCCTTTAAACATTTCATTTAACTAGATGCTGAAGATACTGACTGGAGTCTCTTGCCCTCAGGTTTGACTATAGAAGTCAGCATAAAAAGCAATGCAGAAGAACAATCCCTCCTAAGAAAGATTTAAAACCATGCAATTTGTCAAGCTTCTCTAATGAATTCTTGGGTACGAAGGTCAAAATCAAAGGTCTCATTTAGCTTACAGTATGTTATTAGCTTTGACAAAGTACAGCTTCAAATTCTAACCCATGCTTTTGCTAATTGTATAGCTTTCCTTAAAAAATAGTTTAGTGAAACATTAAGATTTTCTATCAGAATATAGAAATATAGAAATACAGAATATAGAATATAATATATAAATTATATTCTATCAGAATATAATTCCTTTTTTTGTTTTTCAACCCTATTATTTAAGGTCCTTGTGCTTGTTAGCACCACTGAGCTATACCCCCCAGCTCTAATGTTTTTAACTAAGAGCAGTAAGAAGCAGAGTACAGCAATATATACCTGCAGTCCCAGCTGCTTGGGGGAGGGGCACAGAAGTTTAAGGTCAGCCCCGAGTAAAAAGTTAGTGAGACCCTCACACCCAATCAATAAGCTGGGTGTGGTTGTGTGTTCTTCCAGTCTGGGCAAAAATATAAGACCCTATTTAAAAAAAATAACTAAAGCCAAAAGGGGTGGGGAGATGGCTCAAATGGTAGAGCACCTGACTAGTAAGTGGAAGACCCTGAGTTTTCTTTCCCCAGTACTGCCAAGAGGAAAGAGAAAGCAGTAAGAAAGCTTTCAGTCATTCATTTCACCTTTTCAAAGCTAGCCACAATGAAGAAAGGAGTCTCACAGATGCAGAAGATACAAGGCCACTCCAGTAGGCAGTACATGTTCCAAACAGAAAAAGAATCAAGGATACAAGGGGGAAACACATACTCTGACTCGTTAAAACAATGGCATCTAATTCAGGTAATAATAATAGGTCCCATAATTCCTTAAACCATTTATACCTGTGGACAAAAGAAAACATAAATTGAAGGCAAAAACAGAAAATTCAACAAGTTACATTTAAGGATTTAATATTTGAGGTGTTATAGTTCTGCCATACCTAGTTTACAATTTATACTAAAGAACAATTCTCAATCCTTTTGAATGAAATAAGCCATTTATCTCCAAGTGAACCTACTGACATTCAAGTATGAGTCCTGAGTTTCAACATGGCTTTCCTGCCCCTGATCTCCACATTAATATATTCCTTTACTTTTTTAAGTCAGAAAGCCAACAGCTAATTGTAATACAGAATAAAATAGATCTAAATTATGGTTCTTAACCAAAAAAACACAAAGTGTGAATAAATTAAGAACAGAGTCATAACCAGGGTAGAGAAATGTAAAACACTTTCTATGAGAATTAAGAGAAAGTGATCAGAGGCACTGTTTCATTGATAAGCTATAATCATTTGTGTCTGTCAATATGGGATACTCAAAGGTCATATACATACACGTAGAATATTTATATCCACTTACAATTATTATGTCCTTGTATATGTACAGTGTAAGTTAGATTGATATATAGAAGTTCAGCAATTACTTTTGAAATAATCACACTACTGCAATAAATGCTGATGTACTCATTAGGTCTTTTCTTAAAAGAAAAATCCTATTTTATGAAACAGTTCAATTAACAAATCGGTACGAAAATTTATAATGTAATATAGACTCAAACATATTGTTTTATGTATAAATTATCACAAATAATAAAACTTACCCCAACAAAAACTTAATCATAATTACAAAAGGATCAACTTTGTATGGTTTGGCTTCTTTATCCAATATGGTAGCATATTCTAAGCAATAACCTGGTGACACAAAAAACAATATATGAAATAGAGAATTCACAGTAAATATGAAATGTATTTTATTTTGCATTGTCTATAAAAGTAATATATACATATAACATAAGAACATTTTATATCAGAAAATACAAGGATTTCCACTACTATCACAGAGTCTATTCTTGAAAGAATAAAAGTTACAGTAATTCAATGGTTCTTATACAAGAGTGCATATCCAGTCATTTGTAAAGCAAAAGCAAGGAGTCGAAGCTAAAGATTCATCATCTTTATTTTCACAAATCTCCACAAGTCACTATTTTTTAAAATAGTTTTATTGAGATATTACTCATGTCGTACAATTCATCCATTTAAAGGCTATACAATTAAGTGATTTTTAGTATATTCACAGTTATGCATCCATCACTAGTCTTAGTACATTTTCATCATCCCCCCAAGGAAACTTTGCTCCCCCTAACAACTGTCACTCTCAAACTGTCCATTCTTAAGCAACCACTAATCTACTTTCTGTCACTATACATTTGTTTATTCTGAACATTTCACAGAAATGGAATCATATAATGCATGGTCCTTTGTGATTAGTACTTTCACTTAGCATTTTTTAAGATTCACCCATGTTGTAACCTGTATCAGTACTTCGTTTCTTTTTATTTCTCCAAGATACTAGGTATCAAATCCAGAGCTTCATGTATGCTAGGCAAGTGCTCACCACTGAGCCACACACCCCTAGCCTTTCATTTCATTTTATTACTGAATAATATTCCATTGTATGGATATATTACATATTGTTTATTCATTCAGCAACTGATGGACATTTGAGCTATTTCCACTTTTTTGTTATTATGCTATTGTGAATAATACTCATAAGAACGTTTGTGAACAAGTTTTTATGTGGATCTGTGCTTTCATTTCTTTTGGGTGTAATTCTAGAAACAGAGGTGCTGAGCTATATGGTAACTCTGCTTAGTTGTATGAAGAATTGTCAGATTGTTTTCTAATGCAGCTCTTCAATTTTATATCTTCACTAGCAGTGTATGAGGTTCCAATTTCTTTATATCTTTGTTAATACTTGTTATTACCTTTTTTATTATAGTCATTCTGGTAGTGGGTTGATCCCAAGATGATTTCTGACATGTACCCTTGGTGCAGAACTATCTGTTTAATTGGATTGAGACATAACCCTATACTTAAAATTCCTCTAGAGTAATTAACATCAAATATCCCTGGAATCTATGTAGATAATTCAGTAAATTCTGTGTATTTCAGAATAAAACAAAATTAGTATAAAGTCCTTCTTTCATTTTCAAAACAACAGACATATATTCGTGTCTGGTTGACCTAATATTGCCAAAATAATCTCTTCATTAAAAAGTTAGGTGTCGTTCAGATCACACCTAAGGTTACCTCCCTCTCCCTGGAATAAGGGATAACAGATGAAAATGAACTGCAAAGACAGACCTGAAGTCAGTAAAGGGCATGGAGCAGCTGCAGAAGGATTTGGCAAGATGGAAATGGTAGAGGATTGCTTTTATTTATTTTGGTCTCACTCTTTTTTCCCTATCTCCTGTCTCTATTGATTACTCTCCAAACCCAATAAAAGCTTAAAGACAAATCTTAGGCTCCTAGGAAACTGTTTTGTTATACTCCAGGTGGCAGGTTAGCTATTTGCTATATATTTTACATCTCCCTCTTCAGAAACATTTTCTACTCCTTATTGTGCTCTGACTCTCAAGAGGCTTAATTTTATGGACAGGTCTCTGGTTAGGGTCAGTGAATGGATGTCACTAGTAAACAGTAGGAAGAAATAAGGCTATGGTATGTATTTCCCCACCTTTCCCACAAGATGACAGTGACTGCAGTCATTGTAGCTCTAATAACATCACCCACTCCTGCAGCTCTCTAGCTTTGCCTCCAGATTCTCTTGCCCTGGTACGTAGGAGTACTAGATGACCCTACTGCTATCATCTCTTGATGGATTCCCTTAACCCTGCACATACTTTTGAAATAGCTCCTTCATTAAAATCCCAACTATTCTACAGCCTAGTATACCAAATGCCTACCACGTGCTTGGCACTATACTAAGCACATAATGGAGAACAAGGTGCCTTCAATGAGGCTCTACATCTTAAAGACAGCCCCAGAATTGAGGTACAGAATAGGTGTAAAATGGAAAAAAAAAATTTTTAAATAGAGAATTTTCTTGGAGATGTCCTGAAATTTTGAGAATTACAAACCCTAAGAACTTGGGAGACATGTGCTATGAATCTTCTGTCTTATTTAATAAGACATGTAAGATGAAAAAATGGTTATAAAGCATTGGCCCAGCTGGGTGCCAGTGGCTCATGCCTGTAATCCTAGCTACTCAGGATGTAGAGATCAGGAGGATTTCAGTTCAAAGCCAGTCCCAGGCAAACAGTCTGTGAGACCCTATCTTGAAAAAACCCATCATAAAAAAGGTCTGGTGGAATGGCTGAAGTGGTAACCGCACCTGCCTAGCAAGAGGGAGGCCCTAAGTTCAAACCTCAGTGCCACCAAATAAATAAATGAAACAGTCGTCCACAGAGAGGAAAAGAGTGAAGGAGAAAAAAAGGGAGGGAAAGATGGAGGGAGGGGGAAGTATGAAGGCAGAGGAAGGGAAGGAAAGGAGAGGCGAGGATAGGGAGGAAGGGAACTGACATGGGAGAAGATTAAAGAGTGGATACCGACTAGTAGGCATCAGTGAAATATTCAACACTGAACTATTTTTGCTGTTGCTGCAGAAGCAGCAGTTATGGCAGGAGGAGGGAAGCATAGGTTGGAAAAGAATCTAAATCCTATCAAGCCTACAGTTCCAAATTCCAATTTATAAAAAATAGAGAAGATAGAAGAACATTTCAACTTTACCTTGGGGCTATTATCAGCAAAATCCAAACTATGCGAAACACAAACATACAAAAACAATTGTGTTCAATAAATTACAAGAGAGGGGAAAAAAAAAGACAGAGATGGAGGGTGGAACCTATAGCTTAAGGAATTTAATGATTAAATCTAATAACAAACTGCAATGTGAGGATCTTATCTAGCCACTGTTCATTTATATTTGGAGAGGAGGCACTGGGGATTGAACTCAGTGCCTTGAGCCACTCTGCCAGCTAATTTTATGTTGGTTACTTTTGATATACGGTCTCACTTTATACCTGAGTTGGCCTGGATTGCTATCCTCCAGCTCTCTGCCTCCTGTGTATAGCCAGGACTACAGGCCTCAGCTACTGAACCAGGATAATTTTTTAAATCACTTTATAGTACTAAAGGCATTATTAATTTTTTGATGTGTACTGTGATTAAATTTTTGTCCCTTTTAAAGACATAAACACTGAAAAATAACTATTACATTGTTTGATTCCTACACGTATTTCTAAAAACAAATTTCTATAGACTCAAAATAGAGATATTTTTCCCATTAAAAAATGGCACTGATACAAAAGTGACAGGTTGGTAATTTGTAGGTACCACAAACTGGAAGTCTCTAGACTAGTTGTCCCAAACCAGTTTTAGAACTGGTAGTTAATAATGGAAAAGGAAAAAAGATTCAAGGAAGACTGGTCATAAAATCACATGCTGTTTTGGAATTTCCAAGGATGGCAGTGGTGGCTTTTATTATGTGGCTATTTTTAAGAACTCCTTTATTACATCTCCTAATTCAACATAATTTAATCAGGTATACACATGGAAGTAATCATTGTTCTACTTTAAAACTTGTAACAAAATTAACTTAAAAATTATTAGCATTTTTACCTGTTGAGAAAAGAGAGTATAACTGTCCTCCATAAGCAAGAAGGATACTAGATACAACATAAGCAGGAAGAGCTCCACCATGAAATCTAACTACCTAGAAAACAGGCAAATCAATAGGCAACTTCTGAGCATTCATGTTAATGAAATAAATGTACTTTCACACAAAATAAAAGTTACTGTTCACACTTTTCCTGACATAGCCACAATGATATTTTCAGTAATGAGCATTAAAAACCCTTAAGTAAAATAATGTATATCACATAGTAGAAACATCTAAATTTTTCATCAAAGGCATAAATGAGTAGCATATACTACAAAACTGCTTGCCAAGGATATACTATAGTTCAAGAAAGAAACTAAACATATTACATGCATTATCTCATGCCCTCCTCCCCCAAAATTCTTTGAGACAGTTCTTATTCCTAAATTCAGGCATAAAAATTTGGGTATTGAGAGCCTAAGTGCCCTGCACAATTTCAAATGTTAACAGGTAAGTTACTTACCTCTTCTCTGTGTGTTTATCAGTAAAATGGTTACAATAAAAGCACTAACAGGTAGTGATGAAAATTAAATCTACTCACTGGGTAAGGCATTTAGAATATTAACTTTTACATAAGCTTTCATAAAACCTTAGCTGTCATTATTAACCTTTTATGTCCATCATTAAACTGTAAATCCTGTGTAACTGAAATTTAAACTCAGCCTGAGATCATAATCATTATGTTATAGTGCTTCAAGTCATTCTATCAGTTGATCCAATCTGTACAAAACTGACATACATATAAATAAAAAAGTATCAAGTACTTTTTTCCATTTTTAATTGTATGAAACAATGGACTTCATTTTGACATTTACATATATGCATATCAGGTACTTCTTTCAGTGATCAGTCTTACAATTTACCTTAAGCTTTTCTCTATTCCACAGAAATTTTCAGAACAAAAACAGACTCCCTTCATAATCTGATGAAATCTATGGAATTAAAAATTTATACAAAATAGTGTGTAAAATTTCAGAAAGAGTAGGATCTCCCTGAAGATCCTCCATGGATTTCCAGGTTAACAGAGATTAGAAAAATTCAAAAAATTTATATCCTATCCTCATGATTTATAGTTTATAGCTTTAAGTGAAAAAAGGGAAGGTTGAATAAAAGGAAAAGTGCCATTTTTTTCTATCTATTAACCTAAATGATACTGTCTGCTAATGACAGCCTAGGAAATACAATAGAGCACACATTAGAGCATGGAAGGAAGGCTGGGCAGTGGCTACTTGGGAAGCTGAGGCAGGAAGATAATCTGAGCCTAGGAGCGGGGATACCAGTTTGAGTAACAGCAAGAGATCACATCTCAAAGATAAAGGAAAAAAAAACCTAAACAAAAAAACTATATGGAAGGAAAGTTAAGCAGCCTAGCAGGCTCAGGGGTCAGACCCTAGATTTAGACCCTAGCAGGCTCAGGGGTCAGACCCTAGATTTAGACTCTTGCTTTTGCCTCTCACTAGCTCATGACTTTGGGCAAATTACTTTATTCTTCGTTCTATCTACACTCTCATCAGTAAAATGAAGTAGCACCTACTTCACAACAGTGTTAAGGCTTAAATGTGTTTATAGTTGTAAAAGGGAGTTGAAATAGTAACTAACACATTGTAGGATGATTAAAAAAACTTAGCTGTGATTATTAACCATCAACACCCTTAGCTGTCTTTAGAATCTTGTAAGAGATCTATACAGAGTCTTCTGAACATAAAATTTCTTTTACTGATAAAGTGCCATTGCTATGAGCACTGAATGCTATACTGAGCCACGGTTACAGCTGGGTACACAAGGTACCACTAAATCAACAATCATAAACTGGCCTTCATGGCTATAGTTAAAGTATGGACATGCTTCATTTATTTGACACAGTGTTTCCTAAAACTTTGAATTAGATGTCAACATTGAAAAATTGGAAGATTTCACCTAAAAGCTCAAAGATTTCAGTTTCTCTTAAAAATTTAAAGAGCAAGCAATATTGGACTTCCTAACTACATTAACAAGATTTGCAAGCATTTACAGAACTCTTTTTGAGAGAGTAACTTTCAGTTAACTTTTTGTCCTTTTTCTCATAATAGTCCAAAGAACACGTAAACATTGTCTTTCCTTTTCTAGGAAAAAACCCCACTAATTTTATGAAAAAATAACTTATTCAAAGGCTACAGATTCTCTCAAGTGTTTTTTCTTTGTCTTCCCTGGTTTTCTGTAACTATATAAACATTAAAAATATGTATTTTTTTTTAAAATGAAAAATATACATTACACAGATTTTATTCATTCTTTTAGCACCCACAAGCTAAAATTTTAAACAGGCATAAACGAAAAGCATGTTGCATTTTTCAATAATTTTAGAAGGACTTAATTACCACCATTTAAAAAGTATCCACCTCTGATCCTGTAACATCAAGATATCCTGACTAAAAAATGTCCACATCTAAGCAAAAACATTACTCTGTCCTCTTTTGGCTGTACAATAGTGCTTGACTGTAGTGTACCTAGATAACCTGACTTTTCCTGTCACTAATCTGAAATATGGGCCACAGGGATGATATGGACAAGGGGATGCTGTATCTTCACTCTAAACATGTCCAAAGTAACATGTCTTTTGGAAATGATAAAAATACCATAGCACAAATTCTTCCTCTATAAGAGGTAATTAATAATCGGTCCTTTAACATTTTAGAAAATTGTAAGCATCTATGGTGCTATTTTACAACTTAAAAACATTTAATCTTTCCATAATTAAGTATAAAATTATGTTTTTACTTTTTTTATTATTGTTGTACTGAGGGCATATGGTGACATTTACAAAAATTCTTGTCATATATCATAGCTGAACTCACCCCCTCCAAGAGTCTCCTTTCTCCCCCTCTCCCCATTTCTGGAATAGTTTGAACAGGTCTCATTTTTCTATTTACACACTTGAGTACATAATATTTCTACCATATTCACCCTCCTACACCCTTTCCTTATATCTTCCCCCTCCCACTGGTACCAACCCCCCCCCCACACAGGACCTGTTTTGCCTTTGTGCTGTTTTTGAAAAAAAAATTTTTTTGTTTGCTTAAGATAACTATACAGGGTGTTTCATTGTGACAGTTCCATGTATATATGTATTATAAACCAAATTGGTTAATTCCCTCTACTTTTCTCTTTTCTACATCAGTACCCTTCTTATGGTGATTCATCAACCAGATTCACCTTCTTAACTATCTTCTTTTATTCTCCCTCTCATATGTGACATCCCCTTAGCATGACCTGTTTTTCATAATATTGCTTGTATTTGTGTAAGTACAAAATTCTTATATATTAACTCAGAAATCTGTTATGTTCACAATGTAACAATAATCAACATCTAGTTCTCATCACGTTGTTCTAAGGATCAAATGAGATAATGCATATGAAAATGGTTCTAATTCAATTCTGATTTGCGCATTTTATTACAATTACAGTATTATGACTTAAAAAATATACACCTGGATCACAAAATATGACAAATTAAAAATAAGGAAAAGTGGGATGGAGATGTGGCTGAAGTGGTAGAGCTCCTGCTTAGCAAGCGTGAAGCCCTGAGTTCAAACTCCAGTGCCACAAAAAAAAAAAGAAAAAAGAAAGAATTGTATTTAAAACTATAGTTCCCTAATAAATGCCATCTATGTCCAGATTACATAATTTTACAAATTCTAATGATACTAAATATTATCTGTAGTTCTACTACTTGAAAAATTATTTTTGTAATGTTATTTACAAATAAATTTCAAGAAATTTAACTTGTTATTTATTTTTTAGAAATGGGGCCTTGCTATATTGCCAAGACTGGCCTCAAACTTCAGACTTAGGCAATCTTTCTGCCTCAGCTTCCCAAGTAGCTGGTACTACAAACAGAAAAGTTACTATGCCCAGCTCACATTTATCTATGATAAAATTTATTTTTATTTTTTACTAACTGAGCATGCACAATTTAAAAAGTCCTTTGATAATGTTCATTTATATGTCAGAGTCTACAGAATTTATTAAGCTATGAGTTATAAGAAACATGAAGGCCTTAATATAAAATTTATTTAGGCAAATATTTTAATTTGCTTGAGAATCAGTATCAGCTCTCATTTCCAAAATGTATCAAACATGAAAGCATCACCTTAAAAGGAAGGGTTGATCAACTATGGCCTACGGACCAAGAATGGTTTTGAGATTTTTCTGAAATCCAAAAATAATTAAGAAAAAGAAGAAAGAAGAAATAAACAGCTGCAGCAGTTAGAGCAAGCAAGAAGACTGAATGCAGTCTGCTAAATTACTGATTTTTGCAGAAAAAGACCATTTCCAGTATCTATTCACAATGCAATACAACCAACCAGAAATCTTTCTTACCTGCCCAAGTATTTGTGCAAAGGACGTCTTAACAGTCACCTAGTTCAAAACAATTATTTTAAGAAAAAGAGGTTACTTTCCCTAAACTCCTTTCGTTCACACTTTATTAAACTAAGAACATTCTACATATCCTTAATATGGTAAATTTTGATAATAATAAATCTAAAGGTACAAGAGATTTTAAAGAATCTTCTGAACCACCACTTAAATTGTATAAAGTACAGTTTTACCAGTTAGTGCATTTTCTAGTATCTAATTCCTCAACAACTTGATGAAGCTGTGATATGTGTTGTACACTTTTAATAAATAGGATATTTAGTTAACCAAAATATGTTATGGACAAATCATATTTAAAGAAATTGAAGGCAAAATAATATTATTATAATTATCTCTGCTCTAAATGTATCCTTTTTTGATATTTAGGAAGTCTGGGAAAAGAAGACAAATTTTTCTTAGGGAAGTTACACATGACTATGTTTTATCAAAATAGGGACTTCACGAAAATATGCAATGCCAGTAAAAACATGAACATTTTGAAAGTACACAGTATTTGGAGCCAAACTGACAACACAATTCTTACTATCACTTTAATATTAGAAATATGGAAGTGTAAGTTAAAAAACACAAAAGAAAGTGTTTATAATGGTTTGTCAGAAATACTGCAAGGTATCAGAGCATTCACGAATTTCATGAATATAAATTAATTCAAAACACAGGTCCAACTAAAACTTGGTTGTGGGAACAGATTCTATTAATTTAACAATACCAATCCTAGTTTACTCTAAGAAAGTTAGTTTTATTTAAGAATCCAAATATTTAAAGCTTAAATTAACACAACTGAGCAGAAATAAAATATTTCACATAAATCAGGGGGCTGTGGTGTCACTACCATTGAAATGCATTTATTAAAATATTTTAAATGTTTCTTATATTTATTGGCTTACACATCACCATATATCTGCAGTTAACATAAAAGTCAACTTTAGTGCTGGTGGAGTGCCTCAAGTGATAGAGCACCTGCCTGGCAAGTGTGAGGCCCTGAGTTCAAACCCCAGTACTGTCAAAAACAAACAAAAAGAAGTCTACTTTACACAACTTACCTCATACTGACAGTTCGATGATGTATACATTTTTAATAATGCCACATGGCTGTCATTTTCTGGTTGAGCAATATGAAGTTTCACAGAAATTTCGGTGGTAGATGGAACCCTGAATAGATCATGTAATTATGAATTCTCAAATGCAAAACGGTGGTAAACAGCCAAGGTTAAGGCAATCCTCAAAACAATATAAAGAAATAAAGTACAGAAAGGTAGATGACAGATACATTATTGTGGAAGGACATTTGTTCAGTCAAAAATAACTGTTTGAATGCTCCCCTCTAGGACTTAAGAGCTGGGGGAGATAGAGGAAAGTGATCAAATTTCAAGGAAGTAAGGTTTAAGTTCAATATTATTTAATAAATATTACATATTATTATAAATTATGGTCACAATGTTATAAGATATATACATTTTAGAGTGTACTTTAACAATTCATGTGATTTAAATAAATTAAGCAGAGTATCTTTTATTCAAAAACATCAAAATTTAAAGTAAATTTTTTTAAGTACTTACTGGGCAATGGTTAGTGAATCTTCATAAGACCAGGGAATATGAAGTTTATAGATACTAGTTATTTCTTCTGTTAAAACACAAAAGAAGAGAAGCATTGCTCACCACATGTTACTTAAATTTTACATAAGCTACTATAATAACTAATTACACAATTGCCCATTTCTTAAAAAATAAATAGTATGAGTTCTATCACATAAGAAATTACGGAGAATTCCTATATAATTATGATTTAACTAGACTTAAAAGGTATTAGGACATATGGACAGAACTAAGAAGCTAGAAAAATATTAAACAGCTAAATCTAAATTACTACTATAAGACATATATTTATTAATTTTTAAAATGTGGATATTCAAACTGAAACAGATTATAATACTTTACTGTTAAGAAAAGGTCTATGTTAAATCCCTTGGTAAATCTCTTTTCTGTTGTCATCTATATACTTATCCTTCATGCAAAAACATAAAAAAGGAAAAATATCAAAGAGTAAGTAGTATAGAAAATTCAAATGGAGGCCTATTCATTCTTCAAACGACAGTACTATTTCCTGTATATTTTTCAGAAAATACACTTACCTTTGACTCCGGAGCACTTGCTTACCACATTGATTTTAAAAGCTTGGTATATCTAATAGAATTTGACCACAAAAACAAAAAACAAAAGTTTTATTTGTTTAATGAAATAGTAAAGTTAAATCAGATCCTTCTTGTTATAGTCAGGATAATTACCTGTCCAAAGTTCAGAAGCTCTATATTGTAATACAGGCCGCTTGTATTTAGTATTACTTTCCTTGAAGACAATCCTATTGAAGTAAAAGTACTATATTACTGAGAATACCAAAAAATTTTTTTAATGCACCAATTTCTTAAATAACATTAAAACAATGCCAACAGTTTTGAAATGAAAAAATAGTCTATATGCTTTCACTTCTGGTATGGAGAAATCAACTCCTAAAAATTCAATTATCCTACAAGAAACTCTTGACAAAACACAGTATTAAAAATGACTTTCAGTTACACTAATAGTGTTTTTAAAAAGCCAAGTACTTATTTCTAATTTCAGAAACATATGATTTCCTTGTAGATCTTTTTTCATAAGCTTGTTATCTTAAATGACATAGATCATTCAGAGTTGTTATTTCTGTATTGTTCTAAGCATTTTGTATCAAAAACAGAAAAGGGTACAGGGGGGAGAGGATAAAAACTGTAAAGGATGTTTCCTATCTCAAATAACACAGATTCTTTTTATGAAATATATATGTACATATATTTGTTACATATATGTATTATACATGTAAATATAAGATATTTAAAGGATGAAGTGTATCAAAAGAGCACAAGAGCCAACCAAAAAGGGCTCCTAATAGCCAAAGCTGGAACAACTTAACCAAAAGAATATATAATGATGGTATTAGATTATAACCTGATTTAAAAAAAAGTATCTATGAGACTATACTGAAATTAATTAATTGGAGAGAAGGAATGATTTCATCTCTCAGGAAGAATTTCAATAAATGTACAATGTCAGAGTAATATTTGCTAAAGACTAGATGAGCCAAAAGATGTGAGTTATTCTAAAGAAATAACTTTAAAATAGTGAATTATTTTAAAGAAAAACACAATATTTACACATTTTCAAAGTATCTCCTCCAAGATATTTATTAGCTTTACTGTGGAGAAACCTGGCAGGCACCACCTTAATTAACAAAGAGATCAAGGTTAACATCACCAGTAATTACATAAATCAACATCATGGATCTTGACAAGATACAATGAGAAACACACATCACTTTTGTGGTATTCTTGGCAAAATGCATAACCTCAGTCTAATAATAAGGAAGCATTAGACAAATCCAAACTGAGGGAGGTTCTACAAAATAACAGACCAGCATTCTCTGAAGGTTTTAAAGTAGCAAGGACTGAGAAACTCATACATTACAGTTGTTGTAACAAATGCAAGGTAGGAGCCTGGAGGAGGAGAAATCAGTGGAAAAACAGATGAAGACAAAGCCTATTATTCGTAAAGTTAGGAATGTTATACCAATGATCGTTTTAAAAATTTTGTTAGCCAGGCATAGTGGGACATGCCTGCAAGGCAGGATGAGGTAGGAGAATGGTGAGTTCAAGGCCTGCTGGAGCTACATACACAAACCCCTGTCTCCAAAAAAAAAAGTATTTATGTAAGAGGTAAACATCAAGAAAAGAAGGGTAAAGGATATAAAGGAACTCTGTGAACTGTTTTCTAACATTTCTGTCTCAACTTCTTTCAAAATAAAGTTTATAAGAATATTTAAGTCTTGAAACCTTCATAAGGAAGATAACAATTAATGCTCTATAATACTTTTTAAAGGGCTGTGCATATAGCTCAGTGGTACAGCACCTGCCTAGCATGTACAAAGCTCTGGGTCTGATCCCCAACACCTCAAAGAAATTTTGTAAAAGAGCCAGTAAAAGCATAAATTTCACATAAGAAAACATGACACACATGCATACAACACTTGATTACTACAAATTATGTAATTATGGAAAAAATACTTTAAAAATTCACTTCTAAGAAGATGACTGCTTATCTAGTATGAGACTCAAACCACTGAGCCACATATGATTATTCTAAGAACTACACTTGAAACAAGGCTCTGCTTTACTGCAACTAGCTAGCAAAATATATAAGCACTCTGTTAAAAATAAGGGTTCTTCTTAAGAGTTCCAAACACAAAGTACTTACCAAAGGAAAAAAGATGAGTTACAGGAAGTTGTATGGATCTTGTCTCTTTTTTAAAAAATTCACAATCTACAACAAACTGAAATACAAAACATTGATTTATTAGAAAAAAACAGAATTAAGCTTAAGAGTAAAGTATCTTGTCTTTTGAATGAACAATAAGCCTATGACCTCAGCTTTAGATAAAGTGGATCATTGATGACACTGTAACTGTATCCTAGGTGGCAAGAATTCAAGGAGAGAAGCTGAAGAAACTTGATAAGCAAATTTACCCAATTAAGTTAACTGAAATCACTGCTGCATCATTTCTATAATAATAGACTCCTAGCAAGTTTTCTTAAAAGTTTAGTATTTATAGAAGGACATTAAAGATAGATCAAAGAATTGAGATTCAAAGCTAACTTAAGATTAATTAAAGATTTAGGCAATATATCTCTAAATATTTTCATAGTCAAAAAGAAAATGTAATACTACCTTTTTTTGAAACATCCTACATTATCTATAGGCTAAACAGACTATAAAGGAATATGGAGACTTTCTGCCATTCACCTACAAATAGCTAATGTTAATTGTGTGAAATTTCCAGTCCACCAGCTATTATAGAAAATGGGGGAAAAAGGTATTACATGTAAAGAAAAAGATATTCAAAAAAGGAAGTCTACAAAGTACAATGGACCCCTCCAATTTCTGTGGTGACATTTCTTTTTTAATAACATTTTTTAAAATCTGTAAGAAACTTTGTCCTCAGCTATCTGCAAGAGAAACTGTTCCAGTGAAGGTTAAGATTAAAATAATCTCCACAATAGGAACTGACAAAAAAAAAAAAAATGTATCCCAGGACTGGGGGTGTGGCTCAAGCAGTAGAATGCCTGCCTACCAAGCACAAGGCCCCAAGTTCAAACCCTAGTACTGTCAAAAAAAAAAAAAAAAAAAAGTCAGTAGAGTCTATTATAGGCTTTTCTGACAACTAAACTTTGGCTACCTTTTGGGTAGATTTTGTGTTTGAAAGGAAAAAATAGAGGGAACTGCTACTAGTATACATATGTACTACATAAAACAGGAAAAAAATTCATTTCTCTCTCTTGAAAGGCAAAGAGCAGAATCAGATATTTTCACAAAGTACTTTTAAATGAGTTATGAAACAAGGAGGGAGGTTTTTTTGGTGGGACTGAGGTTTGAACTCATGGCTTCATGCTTGCAAAGCAGGTCCTCTACCACTTGAGCCACACCTCCAGCCCATTTTGCTTTGGTTATTTTGGAGATGGGGACTTGCAAACTATTTGTCCAAGCTGGCCTCAATTCACAATCCTCCTGATCACAGCCTCCCAAGTAGCTAGGATTATAGGTGTGGGCCACCTGCATCTGGATAGAGAAGCAGTTTTTAAAAGTAATTTCAATTGCTTTGTATAGGTATTTTAAAATAACAGAATTTTTACTATTGCTTTAAAAATTTGGCTGTGCCACTAGCTTTGTAAAAAGGAATAAATCCTTATCCAAGAGACAATTCAAAGGTCTATCTCTAAAACATTCAAGGTAAGTAAATTTCTAGTGAATTTAATTATTTTGTTTTCTGTCATCAAAAAATGCACATGAATCCACATTTGCATTTCCTAAAGCATTATCAGTTGGTTTGACTTTATTTACATTGCCTATTTGAATATATGCAGCTTTCTGATGATGGGCTATAAGACAGACATAAAAAGTTATGAAAGTCCTAACTTATTCTAGTGAGATAGTGTTGTGTAACAGTAGAGACAGCAATGTTACTTTCCAAAGAGCATTAAAACATATTACATATTTATAAGGCTGCTAAATTGTCTATTTGCAGAAAAGCTCATTAAATTTTGGAATTACCAGAGGTTTTTTCAAGTTTGGGAAAGATGTTAGATTCATTCAAAACCAACTTACCTGTCAGCAAAACCCTTAAAGAGAGCTTATAGTACTGAAAATGCTGAATTACCTCTCACTTGAGCTAAGCAAAACAAAACAGTGAATCCATTATGAGGTACTTGTGAGAGTAAGTCTCTGAAATGACTCCCAATTACATCCCTCTTTTGCTTTCTCTAATTTCTTTAAAATTTTTCTAATTAATTTGGTCACAAATCTCACCAACTTTCTCGTTAAAGAAACATTTTTTGAGCCTTTATGTGGTAGTGTCACACTAAAGGTTGAGGAAACAAAGTAACTTATCTAGTCTTACTCTCAAAGAATTCAAGAAATTTCTCAAAGAAGTTATAAACAAAGTATCATGGTATTAAGTAAATGTTACTGAAGGAGTCTGGAAAAGGAAAGGGACCCTTAAAATTGAATCTTGAAGACAAGTTCGCTGGGTTAAATGGGAAATAGTAGTAGTACAGGGGGGCTTTTTAACTACATCTTCTTTCTTCTCAAATAATTTTCTCAAGACCACCATTGTGTTCTTACTCCTAGTTCCCTAGTACAAGCCCTCATAATCCCTAATGAGGTGTCTAGTCTTCCTATTTCTTTTTTTTTTATACCATGTATTAATTGTACAAATGTAGCCTATTTCTGATTTATCTCATACCACAAATAGATTAATCTTCCAAAATAAATGATCCCTGTCCTGTTACTGCTTTGGTGATAAATCTTACAGCTTCCTACTGCCTCCTGAATTCTATAAAGTCCAGAAGTTCTAATGAAGGCTTCCACAATATCTTGGAAGAACTACTTTGCCAGACTTTTCTCCAACTATTGTTTATATACCTGGTGACCATCCTTTAAAATTTATTTATTCACTGTTTTCTAATATACAACATACTTTCATACCTCTATATGCTTTGCTTTCATTGTTCTTTGTCATAAAGTGATGACCACTAGAACTTTTTGCAATATTACTACTGCATTTCTGGAATGTGCCTACTTCATGTAAGGAACTGAATTTTGAATTTTATTTAATCTTAATTAGTTTATATTTAGATAACCACCCATGATAATAATTTTGGGATTGACAGCACAGGTCTAGAATGTTCATCTTACCTATAAAAAGAATCCTAATTATACTTTAAGGGCATTTTAAATATCAACTCACTGTGAAGTCATTCTTGATTCTTGTAATACTTTTCATGTATGTACTATATTCTGACTTATATTATACATATTTGGATATTTCTTTTTGCTTATTCTCCCCTTACCCACAGGGCAATCTCCTATAATTTCCTGGTAGTCTTGTACATAAGAGGGAGGTAAGAAGTAACAGATTTTAAAAGACTGTTAACTGGGACCAGCTTTTACTTAGAGCAAAGGGTCTAGGGTTTATTCTGCTTAGTTCAAGTTGGAGTATATCATCCTAATGATTTGACAGTCTTTAAGTGGATCACCAAACTGACCTTTGTTTTAGATAAACCATAGGCAGAAGAACTCATCAAAAAGTAACTTTAAGATTTATTGTAAATATCCCCAAAACATTCTGAGAAAAACCTTAACCCTCTTGTTACCTTACTTCCATGAATGGATGGCACATAAACAACAAGATGAGACAGAGATGGATAGTCTTGAAGTCTTAACGTGAGAGACTGAAAAAAAAATGAAGATAAAAAGCTGGAGGTTAGTGCATGTTAACACTTGTTTTTCAATTCATTATTTAAAAACACATTTCACAGAGCACAAGCTTAGCATGCTCAAGCCCCTGGATTTGATTCTTGACACCACCCACATACACACACAAAAACCCCAAACAAATAAACAACAAAAAAAAACCCCAGCTCTCAAATTTATGTTGTCTACATTATCCAATGCCCATGTTTACACTTCCAGGTCAATAATCCTACAAGTCAAATTCCTAATAAATATGTACTGCCCCAATATTCTACAAAATATTTCTTCATATAAAACAAACTACACTTAACACTACATTTAGTGTTACAGATGGCATTACAGTATTACTTCTACATTTACCTTGGTAGCAGTATATGACAAAAAGCACTCAATAGTTGATAAACAGATGCTAAATATAATGGGAGAATTACAATTTAATCTAAAAAAACTTTGACCTGGCTCAAGTAGTAGTGTACCTGCCTTGCAAGCGCAAGGCCTGAATTCAAACTCCAGTACTGACAAAAGAAAAAAAAAGTCACTGGCTAATGGTATATATGAATATCACCCAATGGAAATTATTTAGTAAATGACAAAGACAGAATATGGTTAATCATGCACCTCACCAAAGGAACAATTATAGTTCTCCAAACTGAGGCCTAATCCTACAGTCCATATTTTGAGGAATGAATAGGTAGAAGACTGGTCTTTTTAATAAAAATCCAAGCCTTCAAATCCAGCCAAGCCTCCAAATCCAGTTTGTTTGTTTGTTTTGGTGGGGGGGAAGCAGATGTGGGGTGGAATTATACATAATATGTTTGCTTTAAGAAGTTTCTAAGATACTTAGCTTTCTTTATTTATTCTTTTTCAGAAACATCAATGTGGGCAAGTAGAAGAGCAGTGTTAAAAGGTGAAAAACTGTCAATAGTTGCCCTCTAAGAACCTAGAGAGAAGCTCAACTGAGCAAAGTCTCTATAACAAACTCCTATGTTCTAATGTAAAGGGCATTAAAAGGCCACATAAATCACAGTTATAGGTAGCTAAGACCCACTAGACAAATGGTAGATAACATGACAAATAATCAGGAAGACCTTAGATACTTTGTATGTAGTTGGGCACTCTAATAGCTTCTAAATATTTATTCTAAATAACGGCAAAGAGTTGAATTTATAAGTATTTTTACTGAAGGGCTCCATCTCTTTTATTAACAGCATAGTCAGCAGAGAGCCTAAAAGTGACATGACTCTCATCTGTATTATCTTTGTTCAGACAACATTAATATGAATAAAATCTACAAAATTTTCTTACTTTAATCATTCCTTCATTTTTATGGCAAAATGATTTTGTGCTACTTACAAATGACTACCACACCACAGAAAATCCTGATTTTCAGTATGATGGAAAAGCTTCATTATATTTAATTCATTATATCCCTTATTTTCTAATTTCTCTCTTCAGCATTCACTATAAAAAGTGCAGTTAGACCTGCTTGTTTTCCTGTTGCTCGGCCAGTTGTTTCTAAAATTCATTCTTAAATTCAGAACAAACAGGGACTGAACAATAGCTTGGTAATACAATGTTTAATCTTTGGAGATTAAAAAAAATGTAAAGCTTTCATGATTCAAGAAATACCTTTTAAAATAAAAGAATAGAGTACATTTTGTAAGGTTTTTGATAATTTCTTCTTTTTTTGGCAGTACTGGGGTTTTGAATTCAGGGGTTTATGCTTGCTAGGAGGTGCTCTACTGCTTGAGCCATACCTCCAGCCTTCTTCTTAACTCTTAAATTACAAGTCAATTATAAGATGGATAGAAAACACAAATTGGAAATTCAAAGGAATATTCAGTATGTATCTAAAAAATTTGTTGAAGTTTCTCTACTAAGTATAGTACAAAGACTACATAAATAAATATAAACATTTATAAATATACTCTCAAACTTAATTTTAAAAAGTTTATCCGGCTCTTCTGGAATGGAGCTATAATAGAGATTTAGAGAATTGTTAACTTATAGTTTTTTAATCTTAGCAAGTAAAAAAAAAACATGCACACACACATATACTAATGTATGTTAATTCAAAAATAAAATTTAAAATACACTAATAAAATGTTATCGTCATCAAATGTATTTCTAAAGAAAACATTTCTAAAATGTATGTTAGCAAATCTCAAGTTATTTAATACCTAAATTAGTAAAAGAGCACAGCTACAATATCTATAGGCTCAAGTGGTTTTTTTTCACCTGAATAGTAAAATTCTCAAGCTACAATTTACCTTAATTGTTGGCAACAGTTCAGCTTTCCATGATAAATCAACCCCTTGCTGGCTTTGAAATAAATATGAAAATATAATTCAGAGGATAAACATTGAAGTATTATAAATTATAGCTAAGCATCGGAGGAAAAAGAAATCATCTACAGAACTAGCAGACAGAGTTATAATAAACAGAAGTCTAAGAACTCTGGTATATTTAATCCACATTGTTTGCTTGGCTACTATTTTTCCTATAACCAACTAGTTCAATGTTTACAAAAATTACTGGTATACTCATTACTTTTCAGTTAAAAATCAATACTACAATTTAACAGCAAAATGTGCATAAGAGTACATGAAGTTATTCTAAAGTATAACTTCTGAGTTTTGGTTATAAGGAAACTCATAAACAAAATTGCCATTTTTTTTTCTTTTACAAAATCAGAGAACAGGAGGGCAGAACAGGTCCTGTGGGGAGGGGGGAGGTTGTTATCAGTGGGAGGGGGAGGGAGAGAGGGAAGAAAAAGGTGTGGAAGGGTGAATATAGTGCAAATACTGTGTCCACATGTATGTAAATGGAAAAATGGTACCTGTTGAAACTACTCCAGGAATGTGGGTGGGGATAAAGGAGAGTGGTGGAGAGGGTGAATTCAAGTATGATATATTGTAAGAACTTTTGTAAATGCCACAATTTACCCCACAACCAGCACAAAAACAAAAAATAATTTTTAAAAAGAAGAAGAAATTATGGAGGTTCTTTAGTTCAAAAGACTTACCACATGGAACTGCTGTTTATGCAGCCAAAAATCCAACTATTTGTATCCTATTGATTAACAAAACAAAACACACTAAACATTGTAGAAAATTTGTATAAAACAAACATCTTCAATACTTTCCTGCTATAAATAGTAGAATGAGTACAAACAAGGGAAACAGAGTAGCAGTTTGTGATTGAGAAACATGGAAGATGTTCTTAAGAGTTACATAGGTTAAGGACAGGCAGAGAAGTCTAACGCCAATTTGGGGAGGGAGGTAAGCAGTTAACCTTAATCCTTTCATTCAACTAATGTCTATTAGTTGAATAGACATCAACAATGTCTAATGAAATAGACTAAAGTCTATTCCAGGGCCAAAAAATTGTGTCAAGCCCTCAAGAAAAATGAAAAGTGAGGGAGAATAGTCTCTGCCCTCAAGGAGCTTAAAGAAAACTTCAAAACATTTTTTAAGAATGCAGAAAAGAAAGCTGACAGGAAGCAATGTGATATGTCTCTGCTCTCCATTACAGAAAAAATACTTGTGCGATTCCTATGGTAGTTGTCTGCACTTTCCCAAATAGTAATGTGACATTATGAAGTGGTGACAGAACAGATCTACACATGGGCACAGTGGTGCATATCTGTAATCCTGGCTGTTTGGGAGTATGAGGCAGAAAAATTGAGAATTTGAGGTCAACCTGAGTTATATAGCAGGACCCAATCTAAACAACAACAACAACAACAAAAAAGGTCAATATAGCCCCAAGAAAATCTATCAGTCTCTAGGATCTAAACCATTTTTATAAAGGGTTTTTGAAGCTACTAACAGAGCTCATCTTCAAAAGTAGCCTTCAATATAAAAATTACCAAGACTCCACAGAACTTACTCCAATGTACAGGGAATTTTAACTCATTCATCACTGTACTGAACTGGCAATATATTATTCAAGCCTATTCTAAAAGATGTTGATAAAATGTCTATGTCAAAAGAAATTTTTCTAATCTAAAAAACACTCCAAACTCAACTAATTATAAGTATTGTATTGAAAGCCTTAGAAGAAGGGTGTGGTGGTGCACATCTGTAATCCCTCTACTCGGGGTGGTGGTTGAGGCAAGAAGAGTCCAAGTTTAAGGCCAGGCTAGGCAATGCAGCAAAACACTGTCTCTAAAACAAAAATAAAGCTAAACAAATTTATGAAGTAGTTACTAACTCCCAAAGTACACAGGAAAGAAAATGCTGATCAAAAATGTTAACAGTACTAAAAAGATTCTATTTAGAATAAAAGAAAATGTCTTTAATGACTGCTAAAACCATTAAATGAAAGATTGGGAACTTTATCTTGCATGAATCATGCTGGTACTGCTGAGCCTACTGGTAAGTCTTTGTCACCCAAACTGTGACCAACTGGATATTAAGCACCTCTTGATGAAGTAGGAGGCACACCGCTCTACGTATAAGACATTCTACTTACAAGAAATTCATTTGAATCACATCAAAATTCTAGATTTAATTACCAGTGTATAGAAAACACAAGGGATAAAAATATATATTAAAAGACACCTCAAGATGATGATCAGCTTAATTCAGAATGTAGGAATTCTGAAGAACATATAACCCACTTTTTGAACAGATAAATGGCATGGGGCAGGGAGGCGGGGGAGGAAGGAAGCAGACTATTATAAAAGATACTTAAAATCCATGAACCAAAGACAATGCATAGTTTGTTTGGATCTTAACTCAAATAATTTAACTTACAATTTAAGTAAGCTGAGTAAAACTGAACATGGACTGGACAGCAGATGATATTAGGGAGTTAGTTTAATCTGGCTGGATGAAATAACAGTATTATGATAATGTGTAAATCCTTATCTGATAGCAAAATATACTGAAATATTGAAATGACAAAGTGCTTAGAATTTACTTTAAAAATGCTTCAGTCAAAACAAAAGTGGCAAGGAATAATGAAGAATAGCAGAATGTTGACAACTGTTAAAGTTCTGTGTTGGTTAAAAAAGAATTCACCATTGTATTTTCTCTCTACTTCTATGTATGCTTGAAAACTTCTACAATAAAACCAAAAAAATTTTTAAAACTCACCACATTAACTTAATACCCATAGACATTAATACAGAGAAAGGATACTCCAATCAGCCAAATGGATAATTTTCATTTTGGCAAGCATTTTTCTCAATATAACACTGACCTATTTATTTATTTATTTAATTTATTTTATTTTATTATTCATATGTGCATACAAGGCTTGGTTCATTTCTCCCCCCTGCCCCCACCCCCCTCCCTTACCACCCACTCCACCCCCTCCCTCTCCCCCCTGCCCCCTCAATACCCAGCAGAAACTATTTTGCCCTTATCTCTAATTTTGTTGTAGAGAGAGTATAAGCAATAATAGGAAGGAACAAGGGTTTTTGCTGGTTGAGATAAGGATAGCTATACAGGGAGTTGACTCACATTGATTTCCTGTGCGTGTGTGTTACCTTCTAGGTTAATTCTTTTTGATCTCACCTTTTCTCTAGTACCTGGTCCCCTTTTCCTATTGGCCTCAGTTGCTTTTAAGGTATTTGCTTTAGTTTCTCTGCATTGAGGGCAACAAATGCTAGCTAATTTTTTAGGTGTCTTACCTATCCTCACCCCTCCCTTGTGTGCTCTCGCTTTTATCATGTGCTCAAAGTCCAATCTCTTGTTGTGTTTGCCCTTGATGTAATGTCCACATATGAGGGAGAACATATTCTTCTTCATGGCTGCATAAAATTCCATTATGTATAGATACCACATTTTCTTAATCCATTCATCAGTGGTGGGGCATCTTGGCTGTTTCCATAACTTAGCTATTGTGAATAGTGCCGCAATAAACATGGGTGTGCAGGTGCTTCTGCAGTAACCTGTGTCACAGTCTTTTGGGTATATCCCCAAGAACACTGACCTCTTAATTTGAATTCAATATTAAGTGAATGTGGAGATTTTAAACTATTATTCTCAGGGCCAGATTCTCCCAGGTTAAATTGTCCACCCAGATTTTAGGCTGATAGATGCTAGTATTTGAGAGAGATGCAAACTGTCATATTCCATTAAAAAGTAGTAGTTTTTATCACCACATGTACAATGGCTGCCTACCTTCTTTTCTAAATACTACATGGCAACATCTATCAGCAAAGTTAATATGCTAGATCTGGGTTCTAAAAAATACAAATAAACTAAGTATGGTAGTACATGCCTATGACTCCAGCTCTTAGGATGCTGAGGCAAGAGGATCTCAAGTTCAAGGCCTGCCTGGGTAATACAGTGAGACCCAGTCTCAAATAAATAATACCAAAAAAAAATTACAAATAACCTAACAAAACACAGAAGGAATTAAATTATGAAAGATGCAAATACAAAGTGAAGAATTCTGAGACATACCAAAACCAAAATTCAGAAGAGAGGAAAAAAACCCCAAATCAGGAAAAATTCCTTAAAGTAAGAAATGTTAATAAATTACAAAACTATTATTTGGCTATTCCCAATATCATAACAAAGCATGCTACAGCATCTAACACTAAAAAATATGGAATGTTTGACAAATCTGTATGGTATCCTCGCACAGGTGCCATGCTAATTTCCTCTGTGTCATTCTCAATTTAGTACATGAGCATTTAACATTTTTTAAACAATGCCTAGCACAGTAGATATTTATTAAAAGAAACAGAAAGCAATCATTACTTTGATATATTATGTTCATATTATACTGTATAAATATTCTTCTGTTTTAAAGAATATCTGATATCAAAAGTACTTTAAATTTTAGTATGGAAGTCAATGAAAAATCATGATTACTCTATAAGATTCCTAGAGAATGACTGTACTTAACTATACATATTCTTTAAAATACTAATAGAATTTTAGAATTAGAAGAAGTGTGAGTTCAGTTCCTTCCTTCTGACTCCAGTGAAACTAAGGCAGAAAGGCTGAGTGTAAAACCAAAACTAGAAACAAAGGTATAAGTTAATAGTATAATGTCAGTTACAGAAAAATTCTGATTAATAATTATCAGTCAAAAAATGTTCCAAATATTTTCAACTAGTTAAATTTAATAATAGCTCATAGATAGATCTATTAGATAGGAGTTGCATCTAAAATGTAAATAATAGTTAGCCTTTCAAATTTAAATAAAATGTACCAATTATCTTACCAGCATGGTGCTCTGACAATAGACATGAGTGTAGATTTTTCTGTGATTTGCAAGAGGAAATGTAAAATATATCTTATCAGATTCCTAAAAAATGAGAAAGAAACACACTCAATATAGCCATAAGGAGTAGATAATTTCATCATTCAAAAGTCTAAATAAAGCAGTCATGCTACTTAGGAGGCTAAAATCGGGAGGATCACAGTTTGAAGCCAGCCTGGGCAAATAGTTATCAAGACTCCATCTTCAAAATAACCCAACAAAAATGGACTAGAGGTATGGTTCATGCAGTAGAGAGCTTGCTCTGAAAACACAAAGTCCTAAGTTCAAACCCCAATTCCACCAGAAAAAAAAAAAAAGTCTAGATAAAGCAAATGAATAATTACTCTATTTTTATTATTCTTAGTGTTAAGAACCAACATTTTAGGAATGGGGGCAAGGACAAAGAGATAAGACAGAGAGATTAGGTATAAACTCTAATCCTTGAAATTGTCCTGGAAATATCAGTATGAAGACATATTTTTTGTAATATTTGACTTTTGGTTATGATGAAATATACTTTTTAGCTCTGACTTCTGAAAAGTTCTAAAAATGTCAACCCAGTAACCATAAACATGTCTAGTACCAGATTATGGTTCTGAGATACCATTCTTCAAAAAAAAAAAAAAAAAAAAAAAGTTTCCTTAAAGAAATAGCTAATTCAAGGTCTAGGGTAGAGGATCACAAAATGAGCTGAAATATCTTGCCATACTGAACAGTGAGGAAACTGAATAGATGTATCCAGAATACTAAGGAGCCAAACTTAAAAAAACTTCAACTGGTCAAACACAGAACAATTTTTGTATCACTGGAATGAAACACAGATATATTTAAATCCATGAATTCACAGTAATACTGGAGGAAAAACCTCTGCTGGTGACTTATGAGGGATGCTTACAAGCCAGCTCACTATTCTGATAATCAGTAAAAATATAAGGTAAAATCCAAAAGTCTCAGCAATTCTCACTCATTTCCTTTATGATTTGTTCCACTTATGACAAATGTAGTAGATGATGGGATTTTTTCCTATGTCATATTCCAGTTAAGAAGTGAGGAAGGAATAATGGAATATCATCACCTTTGCATTCTCCTAAATGAATTAATGACTTCAGTCATTCCTCATCAACATCTGGTGACATCACAGTAAGGAGATAGTCAAGTAAAAGCATAAACAAAAGAAAACCCAGACTTTTATCAAGCATCTAGATCCAACTACTGAATCATAGGAAAAAGTTGGCAAAGTAATATATTGAATGACCGTAAGAATGCCATAAACTCTACCCAAAAACTCCTCAACACCATAAACAGCTGCCGCAAGGTGGCAAGATACAAAATCAACTTACAAAAATTATTAGCTTTTCTATACATCAAAAACGAACTCAGAAAGAATATATGGAAACAATTCCATTCACAATAGCCTCAAAAAAAAAACTCAAATACTAGGAGTAAACTTAACAAAGGATGTGAATGACCTCTACAAGGAGAACTACAAACCCCTGAAGAAAGATTGAGGAAGACTACAGAAGGTGGAGAGATCTCCTGTGCTAATGGATTGGTAGAATCAACATAGTAAAAATGGCTATGCTACCAAAAGTAATCTATATATTTAATGCAATTCCCATCAAAATCCCAATGACATTCATTAAAGAGATTGAAAAATCTACCCTAAAGTTCATTTGGAAACACAAGAGACTGCGAATAGCCAAGGCAATCAATACTCAGCAAAAACAGCAATGCTGGAGGTATCACAATACCTGACTTCAAACTATATTACAAAGCAATAGCAATAAAAACAGCATAGTACTGGCACAAAAACAGACTTGAAGACCAGTGGAACAGAACAGAGGACCCGGTTATGAAGCCACAAAACTATGCCCACCTTATTTTTGACAAACGTGCTAAAAATATACGATGGAGAAAAGACAGCCTCTTCAACAAATGTTGTTGGGAAAAGTGGTTATCCGTCTGCAAAAAAAACTAAAACTAGATCCATGCTTATCACCCTGTGCTAGTATCAACTCAAAATGGATCACAGACCTTAATATCAGACCCGAAATTCTAAGGTTGGTACAGGAAAGAGCAGGAAACACTCTGGAAGTAACAGGTATAGGCAAGGACTTCCTCAATAAAACCCCAGCAGCTCAGAAACTAAAAGAAAGAATGGACAAATGGGACTTCATAAAACTAAAAAGCTTCTGCACAACAAAAGAAATGGTCTCTAAACTGAAGAGACCACCCACAGAGTGGGAGAAAAATATACATCAAAGGACTGATAACCAGAATATACAGAGAACTCAAAAAAACTAAACTCTCCCAAAATTAATGAACTAATAAAGAAATGGGCAAGTGAACTAAACAGAACTTTCTCAAAAGAAGAAATTCAAATGACCAAAAAACACATGAAAAAATGCTCACCATCTCTAGCCATTAAGGAAATACAAATCAAAACCACACTAAGATTCCACCTCACCCCTGTTAGAATAGCCATCATCAAAAACACCACTAACAACAGGTGTTGGAGAGGATGTGGGGGAAAAAGGAACCCTAATCCACTGCTGGTGGGAATGCAAGCTAGTGCAACCACTCTGGAAAAAAATTTGGAGGCTTCTTAAAACTCTAAACATAGATCTGCCATATGATCCAGCAATCCCACTCCTAGGGATACACCCAATGCAACATAGGTTACTTCAGAGGCACCTGCACACCCATGTTTATTGCAGCGCTATTCACAATAGCCAAGTTATGGAAACAGCCAAGATGCCCCACTACTGAAGGATGGATTAAGAAAATGTGGTATTTATAAACAATGGAATTTTACTCAGCCATGAAGAAGAATGACATCTTATCATTCGCAAGTAAATGGATGGAACTGGAGAACATCATTCTGAGTGAGGTTAGCCAGGCTCAGAAGACCAAAAATCGTATGTTCTCCCTCATATGCAGACTTTAGATCTAGGGCAAATACAGCAATGTAGTTGGACTTGGGTCACATGATAAGGGGAGAGCACACACGGGAGGTATGGGGATAGGTAAGAAACCCAAAACATGATAGTATTTGATGTCCCCACTGCAGAGGAACTAATACAGAAACCTTAAAGCAACAGAGGTCAATATGAGAAGAGGATCACGAACTAGTGAAAAGGTCAGTTAGAGATGAATCAACTTGGGATGTAACACATTTGTACATGGAAACAATGCTAGAAATCTCTCTGTATAGCTATCCTTATCTCAACTAGCAAAAACGCTTTGTCTTTCTTATTACTGCTTATACTTTCTCTTCAACAAAATTAGAGATAAGGGCAGAACAGATTCTGCCTGGAAGCGAGAGGGGGTGGGAAGAGAGGGAAGGGGCAGGGGGCAGGGGGGAGGGGGGAGAAATGGCCCAAACAATGTATGCACATAATGAATAAATGAATAAAAATAAATAAATTTTGAAATAGGACTTAAATCTAAAAAAAAAAGAATGCCATCAGCAAAATCAAGAGTGTGAAATTCTATTATACACATGATGTATTATTCTCAACAAATAGGTTTCATGAAATAGATAAGTGGACAAAATATTGATGAGGAAGAACAGACATATAAACCAGTAATAGTGTGTAGGCCTTCCTTGCATGGATTCTGATTTAAACAAACTGAAAAGCAAAAGAAAAGAAGGGATAAATTTATGATTAAAACTGGAAAACTGAACACTAGCTATTTACTATAAAGGAAGCATTATTAAATTATGGAAAATAATACATGGACATCTTTTTTTCAAGACTGGAACTTAAAAATAAATGTTACAATTTTTTTTTAAATCCATTAACAGAATACTTACATTATAAGCCACATAGGTCCATCTGGACACTTTTACTGGAACCCACATAGATGTACCTTAAAATAAAGAAAATTAATTTATTTGCCTTCTCTTGTTTTTATATTAATTTCTTTTTTGAATTGTGAAATACTTGTAAATAATAATGAAGTGGTTCCCTGAACACTGGCTATATTGAAAAAAAAAATCCAGAAACATTTCACTTTATGCTCACCACCAACTAGCATTCAAAACAAGTAAATCTACTTATATCTTTAAGTCTAAGGAATTATCAGTAGAAGGAAATAAATATTTTCATAAGACATTTAATTAAGTAAAGTGTAACAGTATTATAGTTCAAAGCAAAATTTTCCAGCAAAAGGTATGTTGATAATTCAAAAGAATATTGAAAAATAAATTGACACTGAGAAACTGAAAGGTATTATACATAAGATAGCTTTTATTTTATGTGAATGTCAGGAAAACAGGGATATTTAACTCTAAAGACTTTCTTACACGTCATGTTATTTTCATACAAAAACTTTATCAGTATCTTATAACTTGCTTTTCTACTTTCTCCCTTCCAAACCAAGAACCTGACCTATACCATGATAGGGAAATTAGAAAACGTTAGGATCATAATACTTGAAGTATCACAGCTTCAGTGACTTTGTTAGTAACAAATTTACCTAAAGGTAATAAAATTCTACTTAAAATGTTTTTCCCACCAACCTGTTAAGTCAGAAATTATTGTTGGATTTTCCTCAAAATGTTTTGCTGGGTGTCTTATAAAGTGGTGATTCAAAACAGATAATTTCTTCTTAGAATTTTGAGTTATCTAGAAAGAACATTGATATATTCTGTATCATTTTAGATCCTGATAGTTTAATGAAACATTGAAGAAATAATGACAAGAGTCAACATTTACTACAAGCCAGGCACTATTGTAAATCTTTAACATGTCATTAACTCTAATCACCACAAGAACTCTAAAAGATAAACCTTTTATTCTGCATTTTAAATATGAAGAAACCAAAGCACAGAGAAATGAAGGAACTTATCCAAAGTCACATAGCTACTTAAAGTCTGAGCTAGGCTTAATACCAAGCAATGTGTCTCTAGAGGTCCATGTTTTTAGTCATTATGCAATAATGCCTCTCAAATATCAGGTTAAAACATTTTAGCGATATACAGAACTATAATCCCAACACTTGGGAGGTGGAAGCAGAGGATCATAAATTTAAGGTCGGCTTACTGCACAGCAAGACCCGCTGTCAAAAACCAAGGGCTAGGAATTATACCTCAGTAGTAGAGAGCTTGCGTTAGCATGTGCAAGGTCCTGGGTTCAATTCCCAACACCACCACAACATAAACAAACAAACAAAGGAGAGTCAAAGAGAACTTAAAGAGATATTCTAGCCTAGTGATTCTAACAGTTCCCAAACTCAATCCAGTGCCAATCCCACAATGAAGATGCCATTGGTCACTAGAGAAAATATAAACTTATCAATTGTCCTTCCTTGGAAACCACTCTCTTCATTACATATTAGTTTTAAGAGTTCTTTTCTCACCTTAGCAGTTATTAGAAAAATGCTTTATTTTTAAAATCAGGTACATGCACAATTCTAAAAGAAAACACCTATCTGAAGTACTTCTGTTCTTTGCTGATTGGGTAAGATTTTTTTCCTTCTTGCTTTCTTATATCCTAACACAATAAGAAGTTGCCAATTTTGTATAAAGCCCTTTGCTTTAAAAAAAAAGGTTCTAAAAAGCAGAACTCATTTTGTGCAATGAACATACAGAAAGACTACTGTATAGTTTCGTTTTTTTTTTTCTTTTAAATGAAGAAAAGCTTTGCTTAAGGGTTGCATACTTTTATTGGAGTAAATCTGAATGATCCTACTCCTTTGGAGTAAAACTAGTGCTTACCGGTTTCCAATTGTATTTAGCTTTTTCTGGTTGGAATTTGAAAAAATGAAAACCTAAATAAAATAGGTGAAAGTTCCCTGACTATTCAGGTGAATATAAAAAGCTTGAAGTGCTAACTTTTTCTTCTAAGTCATTGGGGATATTACTGGTCACCTTAGTTTATAGCTGAACAGTAAATGCAGAACCAGAAAACCTGGCAGTTGAGTTTGTAACTTCAACAAGAGTAGAAATCAGACACTTGGTTACCTTTCAATAGTTAGCAGCCTACCCTTAACCTCTTGCTTCATGGCCCCCCCTCCAAAAAAAATACCACTCTTAATTTGGAAATGTGTTTTCACATAATAGAAACTATTTGAAACAAAAAAAAATAATAATTAAAAAAATAATAAAAAAACCCAAACAAACAGAAATATACTGGAATAAAAAATTCCATTTGTAATCTACCACTATTTAACTCTCTGGTTGTTAGCATTGAGACCATGATAAAAAAGTGATTTTTTTCCAGCAACAACAGAGTGAGAAAGAAACGAGAACGTTCAAGTATACTAAACCTTTCCAATCCATTTAAGGTCACCCAGCATTTGCTTGAACACTTGTTATTTTGTAAGACAGAACAGTGCAATTTGAACAACTCTTACCAGGGGAGTATTCTACTCTATCCAGAGAAACTATCTGACTCTCTGTTTGGTATCTTAGATTGAGGGGTAGTTCTTCAAAAATTGGAAAACTGTTATGTCTCCTGCTTAAATGAAACATTTCTCCTATAGTTTAAACAAGTCAAATACATTAACTCTTTTATGGAATTTTTAAAAATAGTCCCTTTGTCATCCTGATTGCCTCCACTGGATAAACTCAAATTTGTTGATGTCCCCCAAAATATTGAACACAAAATAGGACACTGTTCTCTAGATATGGAATAACTAGAATAGAGAACAGTGGTCTTTTCCTGCCTTGGCATCATACATTAAATAAGCTTTGGAGTTACAGTTTCCCTGATGTAAATGTATGAATTCTGCTCCCTTACTAGATTATATGCTTAAAGATGAGGATTCATATCTTAATTTTTTATTTTCTAGTATTTAGTCCAGTCATACTCCATATCCACGGAAAGTTAGTGACAGGAAGCCCCAAACCAAATCAGATACTAAAATCAGATGTTCAAGTCTCTTAGGCAAAATGGTTAGCATTTGCATATAATCCATGTACATCCTCCTGTATACTTTAAATTTTTAGCATGCTTGTAACATCTAATACAATGTCAATGTTATATAAATAATTATTATACTGTCATATTTACAAATCAATGACAAGGAAAAAAAGACTACATGTTCAGTACACACAAATTTTTCCTCCTGAATATTTTCAGTCTATGGTTGATTGAAGCCATGGATTAAAAGGATGACTAGTTAAGTCTGTTAAACAGAACTGACTTTCATAAACAGTACTGTATTTTGATTCTTGGCAGTATGGTTACCATACTCCTTTATGGTTACCATAAAGGAGTGAATGGTTCTCATTCACTCCTTTAAAGGTTTCTAAAATATTTATGCATTAAGAATTAAAATTTATTACACACTAGTATTAGAGTTTTCTCATTTTGTAGCTACTGGAAAAACAGGATTTTATTTATTAAAATTAGTTTTATGCATAATTTTTTAAAAGATACCTACCTATATGAAGTACCCCTGCTCTTCATTGATCAGAGTAAAATTTTTCCTACATTTACCAAATGTTATTACCAAACTGGTCTTACAAAAGTTCTATTACTGTACCTAGCTGCACTCTCTCAAGTAGACTTAAAATTTTTGCCAAAGCCACACAATTAAAACAATGTCAACAAACAAAAAATTGCTCGTCTCCATGACCAAGTCATAGTGTCAGCTCTATGAAGTTTATTTGCTTCAATAAAAATACTAACTTAATATGGAATCTTCTGGCTTAAAATGTGGTAAAACACAGAATAATTTTAGTTTTTAAGGGAAAGATAAGTATCTATGAGTCTCTCTAATTTAGCTTTCTGAAATGCTAAGAAAAAAAAATACAGACACTTCTCCCTACTCCTCATGAGAGTCCACTCCAGGAGATACAATTAGAAGAAAAAGCTTCACCTAAAGACTTACTAAGAAAGGTCACCCATATTGGTCTCTCAAAGAATTGGAGTCTTCAAGGAACAGAATCCAGAAATATCTGCGATACTTTGCCAAGATTAATTACCTAAAAGGCATTAAATTTTCTTTTCCAAAAGAAAAGATACCAGAGACACAGTTTCTAAGAAAAAAATATTATAAAATAGTTTCTCATAAATATTTCTCTTAAGTTAAAAATAATAGCTAGAAGGATGTATCTCAAACTTTTAAGCACTAAAGGAAAGAACAAGGGGAAGACTTAAAGTATCCTTTATGAATTACAGAATCATTAATAATGCTCAAGGTAACATCATAGAAAAATAAAGATTTCCATTTCAGAACTAATTAATAATGCTGTAAGGCTTCTTTTTTCATCAAAGTAAAAAACTGCATTAAATCTATCATTGCTGTAAAGAAAGCTTTCACATTGCTGTAACAATTTTTATTTTAAAATACATACTTGTTTAAAAATAAATAAATTACATACTTGTTTAGTATCGGCATCAATAAGATCAAAGAACGCTCGAATTGTAGTCAATTGTAATTGTTTACACCTAAACAATAAAGTGTTACAAATGAAACTTTGTTAAAACACATACTTTTTGATCCAAGCATGCATGATTCTACTAATTAATGAAATATTTGAGTTTTCTTTAATGCTATAAACTAAAGAGTTATTTAACAAGTCACTCTTATTAGGCATATATCTTAAGACTGAAATCTTTAGAAATAAAGCCAATTATTTGCTTGGATGTTTGACAGGTAGAACTGTCCTGTTGTCCTTGAGTCTCCTAGCTGTAAAAATACCATGTATGTGCCATCTTTACATGCCTGCACTGTGTGGTTCTTCCAGGTACTACTGCTTGCACAGGCAAGGAAGGTCAAAGAGAATCTTTAAGCTGAAACATGGAGACAGACATTAGGATCTATCAATTCTTGATCTGTATTTAATCTCTTATGTTTTTATTTCTATTAAGAGTAAATCTAATTCCTACTTTGTTTCCCATGCATGTGCTGCTCCCTAAGTTAATGCTGCATTAACCAAATCTGAGTATGTTGATTGGCCAGGAGCTCAGAAAGTTCTCCTGGGGGCACATTTGACTCTGCCCAACTATGACAAACTAAAATTTTGGCATTTGAAGTTAGCTCCATTTGAGACTGATGCTACTTGTTTTTCAGCTGATGTCACAGATTTGTCAAGAGAACCTTGGTCAAACAGAAACAAGACCAAGTTTAGAGTTCTAAGCCCTTATGTTCATTTTTCTCCCATAAACTTACCTGTTTGTGGACTAAGTTGTAACAAAGCAAGCAAATCAATTAATGCCTTGATGAGAAAAGAGAACCATGACAAATAACCAAAGTAAATTACATTAACTTACCACACAATGGAGAGGTGGTCTGTTGAGACCCAGGTCTTAGGCACTGCTGAACTCTAAAAGGAAAAGAATTAAACTTAAGTACATTTATTACTCTTTGAAAGGGGCTGAAATTCTTATAAGCTAATATTTATAGATAGCACATAGCATTAGTTTAACTATATTATGATATGTAGACAGTTTTAAATGATACTTTTAAAAAATTAGTGATCCACAAGGATCTTAATATCAGACCCCAAACTCTTAAGTTGATACAAGAAAGAGTAGGAAATACTCTGGAGTTAGTAGGTATAGGTAAGAACTTTCTCAGTGAAACCCCAACAGCACAGCAACTAAGAGATAGCATAGATAAATGGGACCTCATAAAACTAAAAAGCTTCTGTTCATCAAAAGAAATGGTCTCTAAACTGAAGAGAACACCCACAGAGTGGGAGAAAATATTTGCCAACTATACATCAGACAAAGGACTGATAACCAGAATATACAGGGAACTTAAAAAACTAAATTCTCCCAAAACTAATGAACCAATAAAGAAATGGGCACGTGAACTAAACAGAACTTTCTCAAAAGAAGAAATTCAAATGGCCAGAAAACACATGAAAAAATGCTCACCATCTCTAGCAATAAAGGAAATGCAAATTAAAACCACACTAAGATTCCACCTCACCCCTGTTAGAATAGCCATCATCAGCAACACCACCAACAACAGGTGTTGGCGAGGATGCGGGGAAAAAGGAACCCTCTTAGGAATGTAGACTAGTACAACCACTCTGGAAAAAAATTTGGAGGCTACTTAAAAAGCTGGACATCGATCTACCATTTGATCCAGCAATACCACTCTTGGGGATATACCCAAAAGACTGTTACTCCAGAGGCACCTGCACATCCATGTTTATTGCGGCACTATTCACAATAGCCAAGTTATGGAAACAGCCAAGATGTCCCACCACTGACGAATGGATTAAGAAAATGTGGTATCTATACACAATGGAATTTTATGCAGCCATGAAGAAGAACGAAATGTTATCATTCGCTGGTAAATGGATGGAATTGGAGAACATCATTCTGAGTGAGGTTAGCCTGGCCAAAAAACCAAAAATCGTATTCTCCCTCATATGTGGACATTAGATCAAGGGCAAACACAACAAGGGGATTGGACTATGAGCACATGATAAAAGCGAGAGCACACAAGGGAGGGGTGAGGATAGGTAAGACACCTAAAAAACTAGCTAGCATTTGTTGCCCTTAATGCAGAGAAACTAAAGCAGATACCTTAAAGCAACTGAGGTCAATAGGAAAAGGGGAACAGGTACTAGAGAAAAGGTGAGATCAAAAAGAATTAACCTAGAAGGTAGCACCCATGCACAGGAAATCAATGTGAGTCAATGCCCTGTATAGCTATCCTTATCTCAACCAGCAAAAACCCCTGTTCCTTCCTATTATTGCTTATACTCTCTCTACAACAAAATTAGAAATAAGGGCAAAATAGTTTCTGCTGGGTATTGGGGGGAGAGGGAGGGGCGGAGTGGGTGGTAAGGGAGGGGGTGGGGGCAGTGGGGAGAAATGAACCAATCCTTGTATGCACATATGAATAATAAAAGAAAAATGAAAAAAAAATTAGTGATCCAAATAATTAGGCTATAACATAATACATAATATAAATCCCTCTAAATGTCATTACTGTTTAGTCCAGCTTACACTGCCCTTTAAAAATTATTAAAGAATTCACAGATTCTCTACTGAATCTCAATTCAGTTAATTACTCAATTAAGAATTTGAATTTAATATTCCTTAAGGCCAGGTTTAGTGACTCACTCCTGAAATCCCTGCTACTTGGGAGGTGGAGATTGAGAGAATTGAGGTTTGAGGACAGTCAGGGTAAAAGACCCTGACTTATTGATCAATAAGTTGACCCCATCTTGATCAATAAGTTGGGCATAGTGGTATGTGCCTGTGGTCCTAGCTGTTCAGGAGGTCATAGGTAGGAGGATCATGGTCCAAGGCTGGCTCCAGGAAAAAAAATGGACCCAACTGAAAAATAACTTAAAAGGCATAAAGAGCTAGGGTTATAGCTCATGTAGTAGATCACCTGCCCGGCAAGCATAAGGCCCTGAATTCAAACCCCAGTACCACCACAAAAACAAAGATTCCTTAAACTCATAATAAATCACAGTTAATTAGTAAACTTAGTTTATGACTAAACTGCCACTTGGTAGATTTTAATATGTGACTTCTCTCCCTCTCTTGTTTTTTTTGTGGTGTTGGGAATTGAACCCAGGGCTTGCACATGCCAGGCTAGTGCTCTACCACTTGAACTACACCCCTAGCCCCTATTTTTTTAAACAGTATTTTCCAAAATATTCACCATAAATAACAAGTTTCATACCACCCATTACTGGCTTGAGAGATTTACCAATTTAACAACAAAGTTATTCTGGCTCCATCCTAATTTTTCCAATCATAAGAAAATGGTGAGTAATAGCAGAATAGCATAATCCTATTTGCTGTCTATAGCACATATTCAGTAAATACTTACTGAATGAAGGAACAGCAATCTAAAGTAGGGCAACAGCAGATAAGGTAGTAAAAGGAACAATCACACTATACTATACAGGTCCTCTTTAGAATCAAGTTATATTTAAAGATGCTGTGTATATGGAGTAAAGAAATTAAGATCCATGAAGGTTTCAAGGTGAAATATAAAAGAAATTCTTGTTGGGGTTTGAACTCAGGGCCTCACACTTGCTAGGCAGGCTCACTAACACGTGAGGCACTTCTCCAGCTTCTTTGTGTTGGTTAGTTTTGAGATAGGGTATCACTTTATGCGCAGGCTGGCCTGGACAGCTATTTGTGCTTCTCTGCTAGGATGACAGATGCATACTACTGCACACAACCATCAGCTGAGATGGGATCTTAACCAACTTTTTGCCAGACTGGCCTCGAACTATGATCCTCTTGATCTCCTCCTCCCGAGTAACTAGGATTACAGCTTGCCTGGCCAGTTCATACTTTCTTACAGTTGTAACTCTAATCAATGCATAGACTGTTATTTTGGACAAGAAACAAGTATATCTCATAAGAGTCATTTTTACAGTTTTAACATCGTTCTTACTTTCTATGAACAAAAGCATCTATGACTCTGCTTTCCCAACATATTCATAGTCATTCATTCACATTCTCTCTCTCACACATGTACATGCACACACATGCAGTAAGCCACACACTATAAACTCATCAGTCATTTCCAAACAGCTATGTATTATTTCTTTTTTTCATGCTCTGGTGTGTCTACTATATTACAATTTAAGTAGAATTTTAAAAATAATTACCACAACAGACAAGGCACTGGTATGATGGCTTAATTTTGGTAGAAAAGTCAGTCCTGAACGAACTTGGTAATCTCGGAATCCTCCAGCTACAGAAAGTGTAGTGAAATTTATGTGTCGAGCATTTAGAATCCAATAGTTGTTCACAGTCATATAAAAATCTGGTAGAGAATAAAAAGGAAAGACACTAAAAAATAATAGTCATTCCCTACAACCATACCTATAGTACTAATATTTAACTAAATTTTTATGTTATATGGCCTATAAATAATACACTGTTCATATTCCTCTACTTTGAGAAATATCATTGGCTTTATACATATTCCAAGTTCCCCATTAAATCTGACTACATATATTGTTACTAAACTCATCAATAAAGAAAAAAGATACCCAAATTTTACTAGCTTTCATAAATCGATATGACACATCTCTATTTTCCACAGGGATGATGCTTCACAAAATTCTTCAAAGAATTTACTTTGCTAAAGAGTGGCCAAAGATAAACATACACACAAAAACAAACATGATCATATACAAACTCAATTGCAGAACATATTTGCAACAGTGGAACTACTCTATGCAACTCGGGGAAAGAGAGAAAGGAAAAAAGAATGATAGAGCATCAACAATATTGCACACCATAAGATGTGAAGGTAGAGGATATGAGGATGTATACTGAAAACTGTTGAAAAACGGGGGTGGGGTAGGTGGGAAGTAAAGGGGCACGGGAGAATATTCGAAGGGATCGAACAGGCACGGGAGAATATTCGAAGGGATCGAACAGACCAAAGTAAAGCACACCCACAGTGGGCATACAGTGAGACACCCTGTTGGATGTCAACTCAAACATTAATAATGAAAACCAGAATTGTAAAATAGGCACGGTGTGTGCAGGGGGAGGGAGGTACCAGTGGGAGGGGAAGGAGTGGGGTGAAGGAAGATTAAGGTGATGGTACATGAATCAGAACTAAAACCTCTTGCAATTGCTTTAAATGGGGTGGGGAGAGGGCTGATGAGAAGAGACAATGGGGCAATGTAAATAATGTACAATACAAGACTAATCGGAATTGTTACTATGAATCCCCCCTGAATAATGAATATATCCTAATAAGAAAGCTATTAAAAAAGAGTTGTTGACATTTGTGGTGCTGGTTTTATAGTGAATGCATATGTTCAAATCCACTAAACCACATACATTAAATATGCAGTTTCTTATGTATCAGTTATCTTCAATGCAGTAGTTTACAAAAATAAAAAAGCTGTAGACTGCAAGAACTCAGGGTTAGTATTCTATCCATTAATTGTAACAAGTAGTTCAAAGGAAGAATCTATAGACAATTTTTCACATCAACTATACAAAGTGAGAAAATTTTAGTGTTGACGATTAAGATGAGATCAAGACAAAGGAGTTTTCATTTCTTTTTCTGATTATCAAAAGGTAATGAATTTTTATCCTAGCATTAGATCCCACTCATGTCTTCAAACATTTGAAACAGCAAGCTCTTCTAATTAAAGGTCTCAACCCAGACCTAACATACGGGACCTGGGACAAGAACCAGTGAGGCACATATGCCATATGTCTAAACACTTAAAAGTCAAAAACACAGTTAAGAAACTAGTAAATGTATTTTCTATTCCTACCTTGATAAATATATTACTGAAATAACAATTGTCAATTCTCAGACATCTGAATTGGACACTGGATTACAGGCAGCAAAGGAGAGCAGATCTCTGGCTCACTGCTGTGCTATCTTCTCTTTGTTCCCAAACCAACTCCACCCTACAATGGAAGGGCGTGTACACATCTAACCTCTGCCCATACTGCCTGCAGAGCACCCTGTTGTCACAACTTGAGCTCTGGCTTGTACATACCTTCCTTCAAACAGCCAGATAAAAAGCCCACACAGGACTTAGAAGCAGCTTGGGGCAAATGGGCAAAGTAAGTCTAGCGGCTTACTTTCACAACCTAAAAGTAAAGGCATAAGCTACAGGTAGAGAGGCTGTTTAGCTTGCGTACTTTTTAGCCTGAGAAGAACAAGCCAGAGTAGGGCCCTCTGAAGTGCAAGGCCCAATGCCTCTTTCCCTATCTAAAGACCCTATTTCCACCTACTATTAGCAGGGAATCTAACCTCATATAAGTCATATGGATCTCTGCCTCTCAAAACTTAAAACCCATGACCCCTTGAATTTGCTGGTTTTTCATTCTAATTCTAACTTAATACAATTTAAAAATATATGAAATAGAAGAAAAAGGCTTACTATAATTCAGGAAAAGCACCTGAACCTAAGAATTTCAACCTGAACAATAAAACCTGACTCCATTGAAAGTTCATTTTCCAAAGACTAATTTTAAGTGTATTTTCGGTCATTTTAATTTAACCTACATGGCTCATCTACCTATACCATACAAAATGCAGTAACAGGGCAGTAACAACCATTTTGAGTTTTAGCCTTTGATGTTTTTTCTAAACCTAAACCTATGGTCATTAATGATTATTAGAAGCAGTACAAAAGATTTCAACAATTTTAATAGTAACAATCCTTAATTTTGTTACTAAAAGATTTCTATAGGCAAAAGCCTTTTAAAAAATTTTATTAGCATAAAATATTTGTACATGAAGATAAATTGTGATATTTATGTATGTGCTTTCAATATACCTTAGTTGGATTTACACCCTCCATTGTTCTCCCTCTTCCCCTTCCCTTCCTTCTTACAACAATTCACAGGGTTTCATTCTTCTATTTTTATATATGGATACAAAATATATCCACCTGTTCACCCTTTCCATGTGTCCATCCCGCTGCCCATCCCTGGAAAAGACCTATTTTATCCTCCTGCCCTTCATTTCATTCTTTTAGTATACAAGCAAAGTTTTAAATACAGTAACAGAAAAATCATAATTTACACTAGTACTACTGCTCCAAACACTTCCAGTAAATAAATTATTCCTTGGCAATGTAAAATTGGGCACTTCAGAAAACTACCTGGGTAGAGTTACTAGTAGATATTTCTAACAAACAAAATTTTCATCAAAATTAAGACAATGCACTTTATGAGTAGGAAGTACAAATTTAATAACCAGGAAAAAGAATCTTTCTAAATATTTTCTTCTAGTCACACAATATTCCTGTAAGTCTTATAAGATAAAACTTTTATCAAAAAGTTGAGATAGTCGGCATTTAATTCTTTTTCTTTTCTTTCTTTTTTTGAGGCAGGTGTTTTACTATGTAGTCCAGGTTGGCCTCAAACTCCCAATTCTCCTGCCTCAGCCTCCCAACTGCTGGGATTACAGGTATATACTATCACACCTAACATTTCATCCTTTTTATGAGATCACCACTATTTGATTCAAAGACATCAATCATAAACTCCTACCATTCATTCAACATTCCCTGGGCTGGCAGCATGGCTCAAGTAGTAAAGCGCTTGGCCAGCATGCACAAGGCCCTGAGTTCAAACCCCAGTATCACAAAGACACAAAAATTCCCTGCAACATAACCTTGCCCATAGCTTTATTTCCTATTTTTACAATAATGTACCTCAATTAAAAGGCAATATAACATACAAAGGCTAAAAGCACGGGCCCAGCAGCAAGTTTGCAAGGATCAAAAAAACAGTGATTCCACTACTTTCTGGTCATATGACTGGGAAAAACTTTACATTGTCCTTTTTTCTATCCATAAACATGGGGATAATAATGGTACCTCTGTCAGGATACTGCAGTGTGGACTAAGTGTAGTAACAGATCATGGAAAGTCCATAATACAATACTCAACACACAGTAAGAGCTCAATAAATATTAACAATTCTGTCTCACCATCTAAAGTCTTTGCATACCTGTTTGCTTAAAGCTAACACTGCTACTATTTTAAGTAAATATAAACTTATTTTAGTTAGAGTACCGAAAAGAGCTAACAAAACATAGAAGTTTTCACATATCTTATGAGACTAAGAATCATCCCCAAGAGTAACCAAATTAAAGTTCTACTACCTAGGGATGAGACACTTAAGATGTTATGGAAAGAGAAAACTAACAGGATCTTCAATTATGAGCCTAAGTTGAAAAACATTAGTGAAGGTCAAAACTGGAGTCGCTTCACACATAGATAAATACCAGCAGGGATTTCTTACTCAATCCTGAACAATGGGGAGGTCAGTTAATGCTTATGTAATAGTACTCACCCGTAATGAAACGATCTAATGGCATCACAGGAGCAACATGAGGTGTGGCTTGTGTAATAAGAAGATTAATGAGATCTTGTTTAAAATTTTTCAGTGTAAGCAATGCTCTAGCAACAAGGCCACCCATAGAATGACCAATTATTGCCACACTTTTTGGAGCAAATTCTTGACCCTATTAAAAAAATTGCCGTAATTAAGTCTTAATATCATAATAAAAATACCAAACATTTCTTTGCATATGAGCTATGTAACAATGAATTTAAACCATATGAATACCTACTACTAGATACAGAAATACATTTTCATATAGTTGTAATCAATGTGTTAAGTGTTATTTTGTGTTCTGCCATTTTTAACATTTATGCTTTGGTTTTGTGAACACAATTGGGACACCTGGGTCAAGCAAATGATGTCTGTACCATTATGTTGCATGAGGGATAACTGAATTTGGTATACACCAGAATATTAGGTTGTACAAGATATAAGAAAACAGACCATTTGTTTGACACTGACAATATTACAAAAAAATAAGATAATTATAGTTGTCACAGCAATATACTACCTTATCATATTGGTATGTTATCGAATTATCTCTACGATGCATCTGTTTAAAAATAAACCAGCATTTCAAACATTTATTCACTAAGTAATTTTTTAAGAGTACTGTTTTTATAAAAAAATCTCTCAAAAAATGTTGTTTTTCAAATACCAAGAACAGAAAGATAAAACAGGTCCTATCTACGGGCTGGTATCTGTGGGAAGAGGGAGGATATAGGGAAAGGGTGTAGAAGGGTGAATATAGTGGAAATATTGTGGATTCATATATGAAAATGGAAAAATAAGACCTGTTGAAACTATTCCAGGAATGGGGGCGCGGAGAATAAGGGAGAAGGATACATGATGCAGAGGGTGAATTCAACTATGATATATTTTAAGAACCTTGGTAAATGTCACAATGTACCCCAAGTACAATAATTTTTTAAAAAGATACGAAAGTCCTTTTGTTTCTATCAACTATCCTCAGTCTCATCACCAAACTTTTGTTCATCTCTCCTGACACTGGTCTTTCATGTGCCTTCTCTTCTGATACTTGTGTAGAATTTCTTCTGTTACTTGTGTAGAAGAGAGTTAAGAACAGTAGGCTTTAGACTGCTATCCTCAGAATGGACTAGCAAGGCTGGCGCTAGGCTGGAGTCAGGTACCTCATATTTTCAGAAGTTCCTGCCATTCCCTAAATGATAAGAATGGTTCATTTACCTAAAGTGGGCAAACAACATGGTTTATGATGAATAGTTATTATCATGCAGGCTAGAATTTTGGTATACGCTAGGCAAAGGGTATCTACGATTAGCTACCAATAAAAACCTCGGACACTGACTCTCTAATGAGTGTCCCTGTACACAGTATTTCGCATGTCAATTTGTTGGCACAGCAAATAACTGCAAAGTGTGAGTCCTCTGAGAAAGATCTTTTGGAAGCTTGCACCTAGTTTTCTCCAGATTTTGCCCTGTGCATCTTCTGCCCTTTGCTTATTTTTGTATCCTTTCATTATAATAAATCATAAACATCAGTAAAATTATATGCTAAATCCTATGAATCCTCCTAGCAAATCATCAAACCTGGTCTTAGGGATCCCAGACAGCTGATGTTAATAAAAGCTAACCTCTACTTCTAGAACTTACCTCCTTTGGCCTTTTCTAAAGTATGCCACTCCATCAATTCTCACATTCTGTCAATGCCCTGTATAGCTATCCTTATCTCAACCAGCAAAAACCCTTGTTCCTTCCTATTATTGCTTATACTCTCTCTACAACAAAATTAGAAATAAGGGCAAAATAGTTTCTGCTGGGTATTGAGGGGGTGGGGAGGAGAGGGAGGGGGCGGAGTGGGTGGTAAGGGAGGGGGTGGGGGCAGTGGGGAGAAATGAACCAATCCTTGTATGCACATATGAATAATAAAAGAAAAATGAAAAAAAAAATTCTCACATTCTTCTTGGAGCATTGCGTTTCCTTTCTACTAGATCACTCACATTAGTGTACAAATATACTGTCCTTCCTTAAAAATAAAAACCTTTTTAACTCTCGCTTTCCACTTACCAAGAATTTTTGCCACATTTCTGTACAGCAGAACTCTTTGAAAACCACTGTACATACAGTCCTTGTTGTCTCCTTAAATCAATTCTAATCAGGCATCACCCCAACATTCTACCAAACTGCTCTTGCTGAGTTACCAAGAAATCTAATGGTTAATTTTTAATACTCATCTTATTTGACTTATCAGCAGCATTTAACATTATTGATCACTTTTTCCTCTGAAATACTTTGGTTTACTTGACAAGATTTTCCTGGGTCTCCAGTTAACTCACTGGGTGCTCACTTTTAGTCTCTGTTGCTGGTTCTTCTCATATATTCCTACCTCTTAAAATAAGTGACCTAGGTCTCAGTCCTTTCACCTCTTTTTTTTATCAATGTTGACTCCATCGGTGATCACATCTAGTCTCATGGCTTTAAACACATTTACTCACTGTCAATCCCCAAGTAATTATCTCCACACTGGATCTCTTTTCTTGAACTCCAGCCTTCAACTCCAACTGTGCAATTGCTATTGTTGGAATGTCTTATGCATCTGAACCTGTCTTATCTCCTCCAAATCTGTTGTTCCTAGTCTTCCCTATTGCACTAACATCAATTCAATCCCTTCAGTTGTTCAAAACCTTAGCATTATACTTAACTCTTCTTTTCCTCTCACACAGAACCCCACATTTGATGAGGCAGCAAGTCCTGTTGCTTCAGCCTTAACATTTACTTAATCTGACCATTTCTCACCACAACTGCTACCAACTTGACTTAAAATCAATCATTTCTTGCCTGAATTACTATAGTAGCCTCTTAACTGATCTTTCTACCTTCACTCTTATGTCCCGTTAGTTTATCTCAAAAGCAATCAGAAAGATACTGCTAAAACTTAAGAGGAAGCCACTCCTCTACTCAGAAACTCTGGGCTTTCCATATCATTCCAGGTTAGGGCAAAACTTTTAAAACTGCCTATATGTCTCTATAGTCAATCTGCTCCCAGCCAACTTCTTCTACGAGCTCACACATTCTTTTCCAGCTCTTCCAGTTTCCTTCTGTCCTCAATAGAGCATGCATATGTGTGTTTCCTCTGTGTAGTTTTCTTTTTTCCGCTAAATATTCAAACAGGCCATTCCCTCATGTGCTTCTTCCCTAGGAATTCTTATTTACAACTGTACTTCTTTGTTCTTGACTGCCTGTTTCTCTTATTTTATTTTGCTCCCTAGCTTTTGTAATCGTGAGTATATGTATTTTTCCTATTTATCAGGTTTAGTATCTGCCTCTCCCCACTAGAATATAAGCCCCACAAAGGATTGTACTTAAACAAGTTACCAATATAAAGTTTCCCAATCCATTTGCTTTAGTATTCTTTAATTCCATTCATCAATATTTTATTTTAAATGAGAATGTTTTCCTAATTTCCTTTTCAAATAGTTCATCATTAGTATATAGAAATACAACTGATTTTTATAACATTATGTGATTTGTATACTGCAATTCACTTAATTCATCTATTAGTGCTAACAGAGTTGATTTTTCATTTCGGAAGGCTTGTTTGGCATCCTTAAGACTTTCTTAAATACAAGACCAAGGCATCTGCAAAAAGAGATGGTTTTTCTTCCTCCTTTCTAATTTGGATGTCTCTCATATATTTTTCTTGGCCAATTGTTCTGGCTAGGACTTTCTGTACTAAGTTGATTAGAAGTGGCAAAAGTGGGCATCTTTGCTTTGTTTCTGATATTAGAAGAAAAGTTTTCAGATTTTTACAACTGAGTATGATGTCAAACTGAGTATTTTTTAAAAATTTTTATTTTATTCATAAGTGCATACAATGTTTGGGTCATTTCTCCCCCCTTCCCCCACCCTCTCCCCCTTGTCCCCCCCTTACCCACCTTACCCCTTGCTACCAGGCAGAAACTATTCTGCCCTTATCTCTAATTTTGTTGAAGAAAGAATATAAGCAATAATAGGAAGGAACAAGGGTTTTTGCTAGTTGAGATAAGGATAGCTATACAGGGAGTTGACATGCATTCATTTCCTGTAGATGTGTGTTACCTTCTAAGTTAATTCTTTTTGATCTAACCTTTTCTCTAGTTCCTGGTCCCCTTCTCCTATTGGCCTCAGTTGCTTTAAAGTATCTGCTTTAGTTTCTCTGTGTTGAGAGCAACAAATGCTATCTAGTTTTTTGGGTGTTTTATCTATCCTCATACCCTCCTGTGTGTTCTCACTTTATCATGTGATCAAAGTCCAATTCCCTTGTTGTGTTTGCCTTTGATCTAATGTCTACATATGAGGGAGAACATACGATTTTTGGTCTTTTGGGCCAGGCTAACCTCACTCAGAATGATGTTCTCTAATTCCATCCATTTACCTGCAAATGGTAACATTTTGTTCTTCTTCATGGCTGCATAAAATTCCATCGTGTATATATACCACATTTTCTTAATCCATTCATCAGTAGTGGGGCATCTTGGCTGTTTCCATAACTTGGCTATTGTGAATAGTGTTGCAATAAACATGGGTGTGCAGGTGCCTCTGGAGTAACCTGTGTCACATTCTTTTGGGTATATCCCCAAGAGTGGTATTGCTGGATCAAATGGTAGATCCATGTTTAGCTTTTTAAGTAGCCTCCAAATTTTTTTCCAGAGTGGTTGTACTAGTTTACATTCCCACCAGCAGTGTAAGAGGGTTCCTTTTTTCCCGCATCCTCTCCAACACCTGTTGTTAGTGGTGTTGCTAATGATGGCTATTTTAACAGGGGTGAGGTGGAATCTTAGTGTGGTTTTAATTTGCATTTCCTTTATTGCTAGGGATGGTGAGCATTTTTTTCATGTGTTTTTTTGCCATTTGAACTTCTTCTTTTGAGAAAGTTCTGTTTAGTTCACTTTCCTACTTCTTTATTGCTTCATTAATTTTGGGAGAATTTAAAGTTCCCTAGAAATTCTGGTTATCAGTCCTTTGTCTGATGTGTAACTAGCAAATATTTTCTCCCACTCTGTGGGTGGTCTCTTCAGTTTAGAGACCATTTCTTTTGTTGAGAAGCTTTTTAGTTTTATAAAGTCCCATTTATCTATGCTATCTCTTAGTTGCTGAGCTGCTGGGATTCCATTGAGAAAGTCCTTGCCTATACCTATTAGTTCCAAAGTATTTCCTACTCTTTCCTGTACCAACTTTAGAGTTCGAGGTCTGATATTAAGGTCCTTGATCCATTTTGAGTTAATATTGGTATACGGTGATAAACATGGATCTAGTTTCAGTTTTTTGCAGACTGCTAACCAGTTTTCCCAGCAGTTTTTGTTTAAGAGACTGTCTTTTCTCCACCATATATTTTTAGTGCCTTTTTTCAAAGACAAGTTGGTTATAGTTGTGTGGCTTCATATCTGGGACCTCTATTCTGTTCCACTGGTCTTCATGTCTGTTTTTGTGCTAGTACCATGCTGTTTTTATTGCTATTGCTTTGTAATATAGTTTGAAGTTGAGTATCGTGATAGCTCCAGCGTTGTTCTTTTTATTGAGTATTGCCTTGGGTATTCGTGGCCTCTTGTGTTTCCATACAAATTTAACGGTAGATTTTTCAATCTCTTTAATGAATGCCATTGGGATTTTGGTGGGAATTGCATTAAGCATGTAGATTACTTTTGGGAATATCGACATTTTTACTATGTTGATTCTACCAATCCATGAGCATGGGAGATCTCTCCACTTTCTATAGTCTTCCTCAATCTCTTTCTTCAGAAGTTTATAGCTTTCCTTGTAGAGGTCGTTCACATCCTTTGTTAAGTTTACTCCTAGGTATTTGGTTTTTTTTGAGGCTACTGTAAATGGAATTGTTTTCATACATTCTTTTTCAGTTTGCTCATTGTTAGTGTATAGAAATGCTAATGATTTTTCTATGTTGATTTTATATCCTGCTACCTTGCTATAGCTATTGATGGTGTCTAGGAGCTTTTGAGCAGTTTTTTGGGTCTTTAAGGTATAGGATCATATCATCTGCAAATAGGGCTATTTTGACAAACTGAGTACTTCCAACGTTCCATTATGTATCTTCCATTTGCTCTTTAGCAATCATCTCTTTTTCTGTTACTCTAAGAATTACAATATGCAACCTTAACCTGTTAGTCTACTATGAGTTAATATTATACCACTTCACAGAAGAAACTTGCAGTGTAATAATTCTATTTACACCCAGTTTTTACTATTATGTCAAATATTTTTCTTCAAAACAAGTTAGAAACTTTGTACTTCAGGGTATGATGATGCAGCTGAGATGCAGAGCCATTTGCCTCATGTGTACAAGGCCCTGGATTTTATTCCCAGAACAAATGAGCAAATACCTCAAAATGCATTTTGTTTGCTATGAAGTTATTTACTTTTTTTTAATCAATTAAGAAAACCCACAAAAATAGCAAAGTTCCCACGTGCCCGTTATCCCAATGTTAACACTCTATCTAACCATACCCAATTACCATAATCAGATCATTAACACTGGTATAACAGCATTAACTACATTGCATACCTAATTTAAATTTCACCAGCTTTTACACTAATGTGCATTTTCTTGCATTTATCATTATTTCTTCTTAGTCTCCTCTTATCGATGAGCATTCATTGGACTTATTTTTTTTTTTTTAGTCTTCTTTATGGACAGGTTGGGTTTTTTTGTCCTATGTCTCTTAATTTGGGTTTGTCTGAAGTTTCCTCATGATTAAAATGAAGTTACATGTAGAGCTGGAGGTGTGAGTCAAGCAGTAGAGTGCCTGCCCTGAGTTCAAACCCCATTCCCCAAAAATAAACAAAAGAAAAACAGTTTATATATTTTGGGCAATGATGTCATAGAAATGATGTCTGTATCCTTCTCACTATACCATGTCAGGAAGATTCCTAATATCAGTATGTCCTATTAGCGGTAATGTCAACCTTGGTTAAGATAACTATCTGTCAGGTGCCTCTACTGTAAAGTTATTCCTTCCCTTAGTAGCTAATAAATACTTTGTAAGTGAAACTTTGAAGCTATGTGAATATCCTTTCTCTCTTCAAACTTTAACCAACTAAGTTTAATATCCATTGGTAGATCCTAGCTGTAGCAATTATTATGCTATGCCTCTAATGGTAATTTTCTATTTTCCTATTTCCTTCTATTGGTTACAAAACTACCAGTTTTTGTTACTCTGACAATGTCTTTATTTTGTCTTTATTACTGAAGGACATTTTTGTTAGATAGGCAATTTTAGAATGAGAGGTAAACCACACCCCCAACCTTCAAGATGCTATTCTGTTGGTTTGGCTTTCATTATTTCTGACTGGAAGCCAGTGGTTACTTTTCATTATTTTTCCCTATAAGCAAAGAATTTTTATCTATCTGCTTTAAGACTTCTCTTTCCTTTGGTTTTGACAATTTGACCATGATATACTTGAATGTGGTTTTCTTATGTTTATTCTGCTTGCCATGGTCTGTGGGTTGAAAATTTAGGGCTATTACTTCTTTGAATAGTTTTTCCTTTCACATTTCTCTCCTATTCTTCTGCAATTCCAACTGTGTATGTGTTAGACTTCTTAGTACTAGCCACAAGTTCATCAGTCTGTCTTTTCATCCTTTAATCAGTCTGGTTAGTTTTATTGCCCCATGTTCAAATCCAGTATTTCTTCTTTAGCACTCCATCTCACTGAAGCTATATAAAAACTTTTCGTTTTGTGTATGTATTATTTCAGTTGTAGATTTTCCTTTTTGTTTGTAGTTTCATGCCTCTGCTGAGATGCCCCACCTAGTTCTTCATTATGTGTATTTTCTATTTTGAAACCTTTGAGGCATAGAGCTAAGCACTGTTAAGGTAGACCCGAGACTAGCTACTACTTCAGAGCTATGGGTCTCACCTGAATGTGTACTGTGTTCAGTTAAGTCCTTCATCTTTAGCTAGTCAGAATGCCTATTTCCTGGAACCACACAGCCTCTGAAATCTCAATGCAACTTGCAACTCCCCAGAAATTATTTTTTCTCGGACTTATACAGTGGCATGCCAGAGGAAAAAGTAGGTCACTCCAGGAGTTGTACTTTATCTGACACTGTTTAGAAACTGCTTGTACAGAATGACTTTGTTTAAACTGCTGCTTTATTTTGTTTCATTTTTTTTTTTTGAGACAGGGTCTTGCTATGTACCCCAGGCTGGCCTCATGATCCTCCAGCCTCCATCTCCCAAATGCTGGGATTACAGACATGTGCCACCCAGTCTGGATGTTTGCTCTTTTAGATTCTCTAAAGACATACATTCCCTCTTGTTTCTTACACCTGAGGTGAACACACTCCATACCTTCCTCCTTGGTATGCCATTTCCTTTTAGTTTCTCATCTTGTGTATATGCAACATGGTATTCAAAGATTGAAAAAAAATGTAAATTTTCAGAGCTCCTTTCTTTGCTTCTTTCCCTTCTTTTTCATACCCCATCCGATACAGCAACTTCAGTAGTCCCAAATTACAATGCTCTGCCTTCTTCAGCTGCTTTGTGATATCAATGCACTCTGCCTGATCTTTACCTACTTGCCCCACGGGCTAGGAAATGCTTCCAGATAGAGAACACTTCTTTCTATGATGACAGCCCTTTGCCACTTGATTTTTTCAACACCTCAAAACAGATACTTCAGATACTCTGCCTAGTTTTACAGTTGTTTGCATACGCAGGTAGTATACTCTAGTACCATTTAGTCATGGCTGGAAACACAAATCTTTATCAACAGTTTTTAAGAAGGGCATTGCACTCCTAATTTATATGTAAGTGTAAAAAAAAAAACAAAAGATGCTGACAGGTTGCACCATCGACTCTGACTCTTGCTTACCTTGTAGAGTTTGAGAATTGTCTTAATACATTCATGCACAAACTTGGTCTGCTTCTGAAGACTTCCACCATACAGGGCTACTAGTTCTTCATTGAAGTTCACACTAAAGAAGTCAAAGTGGTACTTGAAGTCAATGTCTTCTGCCTTTCTAAGTGCAATAGAACCAATAGAACGAACTGCAGAGGAAAAGAGTGAAGTGGACATTAACAAAATATTCTAAAGTTTCATTGATTCTTGCTTTAAAGTCTCTTAATAAATAACATTGTGGTATAGTGCTTGCATAGCATTTCCAGGCTTTGGGTTCAATCCCCAGCACCAATCAATCAATCAAACAAACCTTATCATGAATATAAACAACTTATTTCAGGTTGACACCCATTAATAGTACCAGTTTAGAAGAATAAATTAACCTAGCGGCTGTATGCCTTAAAAACATAGTAAGTGTGCTCTAAATTTTTTTAAGTTAAATAAAAAGTGAGCAGATCATTTATTCACTTTCTTTCCCTTCATTAGGGACAATAATTGCTACAATAGGAAGGATTTCTCAAATAAGAAATAGGAATTTCCTCATGCTTACTGAGGATTTTAAGAATGAAAAGGCTCCTACAAGAAGTATTTGTTCACCACTTGGTTTAGATACTCTCATATGATTTGTCCCTCTCTTACATGACTTCCAATCCATCAGTAAGTTCTGTCATTCTCTATCTTCCACATATATTCCCGGGTAAGGCTTCTCATCATTTCTACCACTATCATGCTAATCCAAGCACCATCCTCTCTTGCCTGAGCTACTCTAACAACTTCCTCACTGATGTCCCTGCTTCCATTCTTTTTGTTTTATTTGTTTTATAAACCCTTTAATAACATTTATTATAAATTGACTACATTAAGTGGCATAAATATTGTAGCACACAGTTTACCAAACAAAATACGTCTGGTTTTCCATTCCATTTTATTTAACATGCTATACATGCACTACAATTCACACTTTACACAACTCACCACATAAAGTGTACAATTCAATAGTTTTTAGTACATACCTCTAACATGTATTGTACATATCTGAAATCTAATGTTAGACATTTTTAATCCCTCAAAAATAAAACCTTGAGTCCAAGAGCAGTCACTCCCCATTCTTCCACTCCTCCCAGTCCCCAATAATCTACGTTCTATGAATTTACCTATTGTGTACTTTTCTTACAAATGAGATAATGGAATAATGTGGTCTTTTTGTGACAGTAGAGCCACAGTGATCATTTTTAAAGTAAATCCTATCTACCAGATTGAACAATGCTGAGTGGAAGAAGCCAGACACAAAAGAAAACATACTGAATGATTATGTATTACAAAGGTAAAAAATGGCCCAAATAAGTAGATTAGGGATACATACTTAACTTCTAAAACTATGAAGAAAGTTAAGAAAACTACTAACTTAGTTAGGATTGTGATTATTTCTAGAGAGGAGGGAGTTTTAATCATGAAGGGACACGTGAGGTTTCCAGGATACTAAAAATTTTCTACTTCTTTACTTGGCTTGTGGTTCCATGGTGCTCACTTTGAAATAATCTTAAACTAAAAAATCTATATTCCACGTATTTCTATGTATGTGTGTTATCATTTTAGATTAAAAAGTTACCAAAAAATCAGATTATATAATTTCTTACCCCAAACTATCCAAGTCTCCTATCTCTCCTAAATAAAAATTCAGTCTTTTCCACAGCTTCTATCATACAGCTACTTTCCCATTTTCATTTTTTTCACTTTCCTCCAGTCACAGTGGCCTTGCATGCACCAAACATGCTCCTGATCAGAGCCATCCTCCAAACAGTCACATACAATCCCCTGCTACATTCAAGCCTCTGCTCAAATATCATGGTCTTCCCTGACCACCTCATCTAAACTACCCCCTCCTAACCCTGTTTATCCCATCGTCTTCTCTGTTTTATGTTTCTTTCTAGCTTTTAATAGTACTGACATGTTTGTTTGATGGCTATCTTCCCAACAAGAATATACACTTGATGAGGCACTTAAAAAGTCTTGTTCTGCTCTGGATCCCTAATACCTGACTCATGGTAGGTATCCTGTAAGTATTTTCCAGATGAATATGTGAAAACATAATTGTAGTACCCGTTAAGACAATTCTAGCCTCATTATAACAATCATACTCCATTTAATAACCAAAAATTCAGATTTTACTGAGAAAAAAATTACTTGCACATTGGCATATTGGGCTGTCACGCCAGAAATTACTTCTATTTGGCAGTCAACATTGAATTTGGAATCTGCACATGTAAATTCCCTACTCCTCACCTTTCTGTGATTCCCTCAATACTTCTCTATCGCTATATCTTAAACAGCTCCAAAAGAAACCAAACTCTTCTCTTGTTCAGCATAATGTAAGCCACTGATTTACCTCCCTAATCAATGCTTCAAGTTCAATTCTCTGCATCTTTCATTTTCAACATAGACCTTTCTTCTACTGATTCCTGCATACCTACATAACCTATTTATCTCACTGTACTCCATCTTATTCTTTCTCTCCTTCTCTTTCCAAAGTAGTCTCCAAATCATTTTTTTTGTTTGTTTGTTTTTTTGTTTTTTGACAGTACTGGGTTTAAACTCAGGGTCTTGCACTTACTAGGCAGATGCTCTAAAAGCAGCCTTCAACTCTTCTTTTCCTTGTATTTCTTACATGCACTTTCTCTTACAGGAAGTGCCATACACTTGGGTTTCCCAATAAGCCTACCACAGTACTTACACAGAGCAAGCATTTCATTCACTTTGTTTGAATCTCCAAGTATGCATATGATTCAAAGTCTTTAACTGAATTTTATAACATTAAAAATTTACTGGTAGGACTCACCTTGTTTGTAACTTCCAGCATTACCAGGAAGAAAGAGAACTGGAATTCCTGTCAAAGGGAGAATTTTGTGTTCTTCAGCATAGGATCCTTCTCCATAAAGATATAACTCATACGCTGGATAGCGTTTTGCCAGTTTCTTTGGAAGTTCTATTTTCTGTAGCAAAGTAAATAAAGGTTTGCTTTAATCAGTTTTATTAATACAATTAAACCTCACTGTATACAATTCTGAATCACGTAACTTGGAAACAGTGCAATAAGGCCAGGCACAGTGACTCATACCTATAATCTCAGCTATTCAGGAAGTGGAGATTGGGAGGACCTCAGTTAAGAGGCCAGCCTGAGCAAAAAGTTCGTGAGATCCATGTTAGCCAACAAGCTGGTTGTAGTGGTGCACACCTGTAATCCCAAGCTACTTGGGAGGCACAGGTAGGAGGACTGCCATCTGAGGGTGCCCCAGACAGAAATATAAAACCCTGTCCAAAAAATAACAACAACAAAAAGGCTGGTGAGTAGCTCAAGTAGTACAGCATCTGCCTAGCAAGCATGAGGCCCTGAGTCCAAAACCCCAGTACTGCCAAAAAACAAAACAAAACTAAAACATAATAACTAAAACAAAAAAGGGGCTGGAGGCATGGCTCAGATGGTAGAGCACCTGCCTGGCAAGCACAAGGTCCTGAGTTCAAACCCCAGTACCACCAAAACCAAAAAAAGTGCAATATAAAAATATTACTAATGATAAAAACACACTTAAGGCACAAAATAAGTTTTACTTTTAGTTTATTCATAAAGGGAATTACTCTTGAATTATGTAAATTTTGAACCAGGTAGTCTTCAGAAAGAATGAGTATACCTGAAATTCTAACAAACAGAAATTAGTCAAAATAGCCCTTGACAATGGCTGTCTACTTCTATGTCAGTAAGTTACATGTTAACAATTAGAGATTCATTTAATTTAGAATCAGTATCAATTATATTTTAAATGATAACAGCTTTCTATTATCAATTTTTTTTTTGCCATTTTAAACTGTTTTTGCAATGTCTCTTCTTTTACTCAGGTCTATCTACATATTCCAGTTGTTACATCTTTATAAGAAAGCAAGTTTGTTGTATAATGCAGCTTTCAGCTATCAGAACTTAATATGCTTTGACCCATAAAGTGCTTAACAAAATAATCTGAACTTTATATCCACGTCTCACTCAAAACATGTACACTCTTATTACCATAAACATTTCAGTGAATTAGCATCTGGTTCAGTTCTCATGGACCAAGAACATGGTGTCACAGGTTACTCCAGAGGCACCTGCACACCCATGTTTATTGCGGCACTATTCACAATAGCCAAGTTATGGAAACAGCCAAGATGCCCCACTACTGACGAATGGATTAAGAAAATGTGGTATCTATACACAATGGAATTTTATGCAGCCATGAAGAAGAACGAAATGTTATCATTCGCTGGTAAATGGATGGAATTGGAGAACATCATTCTGAGTGAGGTTAGCCTGGCCCAAAAGACCAAAAATCATATGTTCTCCCTCATATGTGGACATTAGATCAAGGGCAAACACAACAAGAGGACTGGACTTTGAGCACATGATAAAAGCGAGAGCACACAAGGGAGGGGTGAGGATAGGTAAGACACCTAAAAATTTAGCTAGCATTTGTTGCCCTTAACGCAGAGAAACTAAAGCAGATACCTTAAAAGCAACTGAGGCCAATAGGAAAAGGGGACCAGGAACTAGAGAAAAGGTAAGATCAAAAAGAATTAACCTAGAAGGTAACACACACGCACAAGAAATTAATGTGAGTCAACTCCCTGTATAGCTATCCTTATCTCAACCAGTAAAAACCCTTGTTCCTTCCTATTATTGCTTATATTCTCTCTTCAACAAAATTAGAGATAAGGGCAAAATAGTTTCTGCTGGGTATTGAGGGGGTGAGAGGGAGAGGGAGGGGGCAGAGTGGGTGGTAAGGGAGGAGGTGGGGCAGGGGGGAGAAATGACCCAAGCCTTGTATGCACGTATGAATAATAAAACAATAAAAAAAAGAACATGGTGTCAGCAAGCCTGAAACTATTCAGTTCCTATTATTGCATAAAAATGAGTATGTAGCTTATATAAACACTTAAAAACATAATGTAAATTAGATTTTAATGGCACTCCACAAGGATAGGCACCAATGAAAGTGATAGTAAAGTATAAACTCCTGTGCTTCCCTCTCCTCTTTTGTAAAGATCAGGTCTCACTATATGGCCCAGACCAGCACTGAACTCAAGATCCTTCTCCTCAGCATCCCAAGTGCTCAGATTACTGGCATGTATCACCATGCCCAACATTCTTTTTTTTTACCCTTAGAGGACAGAAACAATTAAAACTAAAACCAATTACACTGGATAAGAGATTTAAGTAGATATCAAGTGCTATACACGTAGTGTGTGCTTAAAGAAAAAATTTTATTGTATGAATTCCAGTAACTGTAAATGCTGTTAATGATTGCTAAAAAACAGAATCAAAAACAGAACTGATCAAAAACAGAATTCTGATCACTTGTGCGCATTCCTGAATATTCCTCTGAGGATATTACCATAAATAATGTGTGCCAATTACACCACTGAAACATCTCTTAGCATCTCTTAGAGACTATGTGCTTATTGTTTAAGAGACTTAGCATCCTCAGTTATCTTTTTAAATACTCAAAATGCAGACATACTAACTCTACTATTTGCTTTGTAAGTATACTGGTACTTTAACTCAAATTAGTCCCAATATTGATTATGCACACTATATAATCAAAAATGATATGGTATTTACTTCTTTGGGTACAACTTAAACAAAAAGAAAATATGAGAACAAAAGAAATAGTTTCTCAACTCCTCCCAATTACGTACACATTTGGATGTAACAGTGCATACATATTAGATCATTATTCTTTTTAGCACAGTAGCTGAACAGTTTGAGCTATGTTAAAATTAACTCAGAACAGGAAACTGAAAAGAATTTCTCCTACCCCAGCCCTTTAGTCATCTAGTTCCAACCCCACAAAGCAACCAATGTTATCAATTTGTGTGTGCTCCCAGAAATATTTTACACATAAACAAGGAAAATATTTATGGATTAGTTTCTTCTTTTTACCTAAATGTAGCATATTATAAATACCATTCATGCAATGTGTCCTGGTGCCTTCCTACCTTCAGATGTGCTATGTTTGTCTGCAATTTTGTTTCTGTAGTTTGTGAACTACACACCCCACATAGCCAAATGTACCACATCACCCAATGACTAGGGCATCTTCTCTTAAGACCTCTGAATACCCAAGACAAACTTGGACATTTTATCTTCTCTGAAGAACCTGTACACACTTTCTCACAGAGAAATTACAACATTTAGCACATTATATTGCAACTACACGTTACATTCCTGCATCCCTCATTTTATTATAAAGACAAAAAGACATGAGGACTGATTTATCACTAATTCCCTCTAAGTATCCAGATATACATGGCACAGAGTAGTCATTCAAAAAATGACTTGCTAAATAAATATCACACTTACTAAAATATGATTAATATTTTCAATATCAACATTTTCTTTCAGAGAGCAGCCATTAGTTACACATATGGCCAGCGACAGACAAACTACTGTATGAGAAAACAACTCAGATGTTTCTTCTCAAATTCTACAATTTGCCTAAAACTGTGTTCTGCCAAATAAAGTTTTGCTTTGCTGTCATAATAGGGCAAAAACCTTTAAAGGATAATGTGCATTTTGCCTGGTAGACTTAAGAATATTTATGAAATGTCTAAGTAAGTAACTCTAGGGAAACCACAACTAAAGGATGAATAGTGATAAAGTCCAACAATTCATTTTTGAAAGAGTTTAAAATTCCTGCCCCACCTTATAAAAAAAGAGTAAATTTAAATTTATTCTTTAAAAAGAATAAATTCAGCAGCTACCTTTCCATTTTCTCTGCTGGCTAGCAAAAGGTGTAAATGAGCAGTAAAAAAAAAAAAAAAGAAAGAAAGAAAAAAAAGAAAGCAGGCAACAACCTAAGTATCAACCTGTGAATAATTAAAAAACTGAATAAAATATAATTAAAACTAGAAATGGATAACGTTCTTTAGAACATTATTATTCATATGAACACCATTTTGTTCTTAACAAAATAACCTCATTTATTTAAAAATCTCACTACATTCAAAATGATTCCTGTCTATAGGTAGGTTTTTAAAAATAACAACATGGTGTGCAAATAAAAGAACTAAGAGTCAAATATAAATACTGTATTAACGCAGCTTTTTACATCATAAAAATAAAATCTGCTAAAAATGGGCATTGTAAACTTGTCATTGTAACTATTACTGCACTAACAAATTAACAGAAGAGTAAAACCCCCAGAAGACAATTTGAGCCAAAATAACTAAGTACAGACTACTCAACAACAAAAAAAATTAGCTGTTTTGTACTACTAATTTTTTGTCTTTCCAGGCAATTTCATGAGGCAGGAAATGCATCTGTGAGGTCCATATGCTTTGTCCAACATTGAAGAAAGCAATTTCTACTACTGCAAATATTAAAATAGCTTCAATAATTGTGCCCAACCTAAAAATAAATGGGAGCTAGTACTGTATTGTTCCAAAATGATTTTATCTTAACCAAAATATTTATGCAGTACAAAACTAACCTACTTCAATCTCTTGGGCATTTCCTAATTATGCAAGGGGATTATAATAACAAAAAAACCCTAGCAGCCCACGTATTTAACTATTAAGAGGGCTAATCATAAATCAGCATATGGAGGTTTATTTGCTTAGAAATTAACAGAGACAACAGTAATATTAAAATTTTCTACTTTAATGTCGTCTGAAATTCAATGGTTCCCCCACCCCTTGTAACTATGAACGCAAAACCCAGGGAAGGATCTCAAAACAAATAAAATAGAAATGCATTAGCAATTTACCCATGGGAAAGGATGCTCCTAAGCAAATTAGACTTTAGTTTTTAAATCCAAGTAACAACAAATGCACTCCCTCATAATGGCCGATACACAGAAACAATCCCGACTTTCACCTTAAAGAAAAACCTGCGATTGTTTTCAAAGTATAACGTGCACTTTATCAAAATGTATTACATACATACAGGACTTATCCTAACAGGTATTCCATAATGAAGAGATCCCCATCTCGAAATATAAAAACCACCCGGGAGACATTTCTTTGGACAGTTGTGTAATTTGTCACCATCACTTTTTACAGCTGGTCATGAATGAAATTCTAGATTCCACTACGCCGAACTAATGAAGCACTAATTGGAAGCGTTCAAAAGCGAACGAAGAGATGGGGGGACGCCCAGGTCTCTCTGAATTTCGAACAAGGGGAGAAAACAAAACACCACTCTGAGATCGGTGCCGAATGCACCCGGCTCGAGGTCGGACCGCTCGCCACGCACAAACATAGGTAAAGCCAGACCCACCACGAAACCGGTGAGCCCACAAAACGCCGCGGGGGTGGCCGAAATAGTGCTCGGCTCCACCACCCACCAGGCCGGGTCCCGACCGCGGCGGCCCCCACACCTGACGTGCCGATCAATCACCGCGCGCCCGGGGAGCCAAGAAGGGCGCAGGGCACCTGTCAGGGCGGCAACGCGAAGACCGCGATGGCTTTGGGTTTAGGTCTGGGTTTAGGGACAGGGGCTGGAGCTGCCTCCCTAGGGACGGGATGGCTGGGCCCGGCCACTCTATGCCCAGCATCTGGAGCCAGACACGGTGAGAGACCCCGGTGTCCTGGGGCCGCGGCGGCCCGACGCCCGGGAAACGGGCTGTCGCACACCCTGTAGTGCCGGGACGCTAAACGGGTAGCGGAAGGGTCGGAAGGGCTCAGCCGAAGCGAGGGGCACCCAGAAACGGCAGAGAGCCGCGGAAGGCTGAAGTAAGGGGCAGCCCCGGGGAGGGACGCGCGTCTCGGGGCGCCTAGGTGACTGGGGAACCCTACCTGATACTCGGGGTACTCGAACATGTAGCTCATGCTGCACTTGTTCTCCTCGAAGCCGAAGAAGACATCCCACAGCCCGAGCGTGGCCAGAAAGACCATGAAGACGTAAAACGCCAGGTTCCAGAGGTTGACTGAATGAAGAAACATGGTGCCGCCGCCCCGCCACAGGCGCGGGTACCCGAGTCCACACACAGCGAGCGGAAGACACCAAGCCGTCAGAGCCGGAGCCCAGCCGAGAGCGCGCGCCTGCGTGGAGCCCTACCCGCCCGCGCGTCGCCCGCACAGTGCGCATGCGTGCAGCCGGCTCGCGGCGCCTCCGGGAGAGCAGGAAGGGGGCGGTGTTGGGGCTGGAGCGCGATTCCCTCGGGAGAGAGAAAGAGCGAGAAGGCGAAAGTGGGCGGGGCTGAACGGTGTGGAGAAAAAGGGGAGGGGCAAAGGGCGGGAAAGTAGAGAAGAGGGGGATGGGAGCGGGAGGCGGGGAGGGTGTGGGGCTGGGGGTGGGGAGCATCTGGGTTACCCTGGGAGGAGGACAGAGCCCAAAGACTGTAAATGGCGGTGAGCGGACCCCCTCACGTCAAGGCCACCAGCTGTCACCTCGCAAACACCTTTCCCTGCGACCGGTATAAAAGCCGGTCCCGCAATTTCAGTTCTCCCAGTGGTGACAGCACGGTCACCTCTCTCTGGAACAGTTAGCTTAAGGAGGGGACAAATGACTTTCCCCCCATCTTTGGCTGCCTACTTTGGCGCTGTAGGTAACAGCGCTTTAAGCACCGGCTCATTAAAAAAAAATGAAAATAAAAACAGACCACCAGCAGTCACCGGAGTTTCTGCTGGAGTGCAAGAGGAGAGCAGGAATCACAAGAAGCAAACACCAGGAAAACGTCCAGTAGCGCCGGCGTCCCCAACAGGTATCTGCACGGGCAGGTGACTCCAGAGCCTCTTTGGGAGTTGGTTCCCTGTGAACGTGAGGACGTAACTGTGCTCTGGCTTCCACAAATACTCTCAAGGGGCTTAATCCATTTTGAAGAATTTCGGTTTGGTTTTGCACAAAGCTGCGGGTAAAAAGCAGCTCAAAAGCGCACATCATCACGGGTGTCAGCTTCAAAACACTAAATGTTAGGAGGAGAAAGACAGCAGATGGGCGGGGGTGTCGCCTACTGCAGAATTCCCCTTACAATGTTTTTTGGCACTGATTCGATTTCATTTCACTTGGGCTGAATTTCTAGTATATTTTCTGTGCAGAGGAAGTTTGGCTATAATACATGAAATCAAGGAATTTTAAAACTGATGGGAAGCTTACAGTTTATCTTGTGCAACACCCTGGATATTCACATTGAGAAACTAAGAAGGAGAGGTAAAGTGATCATTTGAGTCAAGTTATTCTTTATCCTATACAGAAGTATTTGCAAGGCTAATAAATACAGCTAGCTACTGGATGTGGAATATTGGTGGAGAAAAAAGCTGGGGAAATGCAGAAGCAGGGTCCTTTTATGTATGGAGATAAATTTGGAAGGACCAGGATAAAAAGGGAGCTGTGGGTAATATTGACCAGTGGAGTAATTGTTCAGTAATATGTGAGATGTGATATGCATGAAGTTCTTGATGGGGTGGTGAGTTCATTTAGCAACTCTTTATATTCTGTTGATAGTAATAAAATGTTAAATTTGTAGAATGACACCAATATAACTGGATTTTCAAGAAGAACCTGCTTCTGTAAGCACAATGTTTAGAAATGGATGTGTTAAAGGGGAAAATACTGTAGAATTTTGACATTGTTGAGCCCACAGAGGAGAGAGCACCTGGGGTGTGGGTGGAATTACCAGTTAGTGCAGAGGATTATGAGTCATGAGGAGAAGGATTTAAGGTATACATTAAGGGAGTGGTGATGCATTGCGTCTGTGTGCTAAGGAACATCACAAAGTCATGTTTTTCCTAATATATTATAGGCAATATTATGACAAACCAAGGATGATTCCACACTCTCTCATCAATCTCAGAGCTTTTTTGGGGGGACAGGAGGCAGGGTCTTACTAGCTAGCCAAGGCTGGCCTTGAATTTTGGATCCTCTTATCTCAGCCTCCCTAGTGCTAGGATTACCAGCATGCATCACCACACCTGGCTCTATCTCAGTGCTTCTTAAACTTAATGAGCATACAAAGACATTGAAAATTCTGTTGAAAACCAGGTTTTGATTCAATAGTTCTGAGATGGGGTCCAGCATTCTGCATGTCTAACAAATGCCTAGGTGATGCCAACAATGATGGTCAGTGGCTATACCCTGAGTAGCAGGGATATCCTGCTTGGAGAAAACCCTGAACTTGAAAATGGCAGAGCTTACTCTTCTGGTGGCTTATGAATTATGGCAACTTATGCCTTGATTGTTCACTTAGGAAGGAGTGGGATAGAAGTCAGTTGCTTCAGTATGTTTATAATCTCTCGGTCCTACATTTTAACTTTCTTTTCTCCTATCCATCATTATGCCCCCCACTTCACTTTCTTCTATTATCTAGCCTAACCCTACCAAATGTAGCTTCTACCACCTTGTCAGTGCTGTTGTCTTCTTTGAACTCTTTTGGTCTTCTTGTCCTACTGACAGACTGCCAACTTTGGGTCAACAAACTCTGCTGTGAGCTCTGACACTGCTGTGTGTATCTGACTACTGCTGGAGAAAACGACAATCATTTGATTATGGTCCAAAAATGCTTATATATGTTTCTGATCAATTTCCTCTCCTATTCTTCATGCCACTGCTTTTTAAACTCCTTATATTTCTTCTCCCTTCTCTTTTAGATTATTAGTTCATAACCTTATCTTCATATTTATAGAGATCATTTTGATTTTCACATTGATTTAACTTCTCATTCTCAGTTGATTATCTCTACCTAGTCCTAATTCAGTTGGTACATCTGAAGTGCTTGAAGGAATACCTGGCATGTTGTAATCATCACTGTTGTACTTTGCTGTCCTTGGAGGACATCAAAAGCAAATCCCTCTAGTTGTGTTTTAGTTCCTACCCCCCCACTTTCTTTTCCAGAAATTAGCTCTATCACGTTAAGGGCTCTGTCAGTCTTTCTCATTTTATCCTCTTTCCCCAAAGCATATAAATATGCTTAGGTCTTATTCATTTTTCAAAAAGAGATATCCTCCCTGTAGCTATCACAGTCAGGGTTCCTAAAGATGTGGTGTGTACTTATCTCCAGTTCCTCACTTCCCACTCATGCTTCAGCAGACAGAAATTTTGCCCCCACCCCAAATCCAATGAAACTTTTCTTGCAAAGATAAGCACTGACCTAATTAGCAAATCCAGCTGACACTTTGTGGTCTTACTTGACCTTCCTGATTCTTCTTTAAAATGCTGCCTTCTATTATCTCCTTAACACCATTTTCTACTGTGTTTTCTCCTACCCATTGTCCTCTTTCCCTCCCATCCCTCAAATGTTCTTCATCCTGTGATTTTATTCTCAGCCATCATTCTACTTTCCAACATAAAATCATTTAGTAGTTCCTCGGTACCTGGACTGGAGGCAGGGTTCTCTTGGTTGCAAAAACTACAAAGTTTAAAAGAGGATTTTTTTTTTCTTTAAGATAGATCTCAGGATGCCAAAATAAATGGACAAGTCAGGACACATCAGGACACATGCTGACTACCTGATATACACAGCTTCCTCACGGCCACTCCCAATCCAAATCCAACTGTTTGGTTTTTGTTGTTGTTTAGCTAGTCACCACTAATTACATCTCCTCTCCTATCAATTTGGTTCAGAATCCTGCTTTGGGAAGTAGGGTCTCTCATTGGTCCATGTGGGCCTTTTGAACCAGGCCTCACATATGAAAGACTATTGATAAGGATTTGGAGTGTGTGAGACTAGAAAAGTAAACTGGAGCCAGAACTAGAGCAGACAAAGGAATTTGACTTTTAATCAATAGATAAGTGGAAGCAATTAAACATTATAAAATATTAAATATTCAGAGTTGATTGTCTTGTATCGATGTCTGGCTCGACTGGACAGCATGGGGTCTCTAATCAAGACTAGCAGGAAGGTGTGGATTTAGTCCAGGTAGAAGTATGTTAGGAAAAAGGCACTTTTATTACTCTCTGTTATAAAGAATAATATAGCATATTTAGATAACCAATGAGGAATAGTTTGATTAAATAATATGGGAAGATTTCCAAGACACATTGTTAAGGGAAAAACAGGTATAGAACAGTACATATGTATCTGGTCTTTGGATCATAATCATCTGTGTAACAAAGAGAAATACTGAAAGGATAAATTAAACCTTAGCAGGATACAGAGGGAAGGAGCTGAAGGACGCAGGAATAGAAACAATAGTTCTTAGGGATTTCTTTTTTAAATTTTTCTTTTTACTTTGAGTCATAAAAATACAAGAGCTAATCAAAACCAAAATCATTTTAAAGCAATCCTATGATTAAAAAACTAATTGGAACAATGAATGCAATTATACAAAATTAATAACTAAACCACACTATCCCCCCAACTGATTTATCACAAATTATTTTAGAGCAGTATTTTGTACATCATTAGTGTGATTCATTCTAAAGACAAAAGGAACTACAAAGAAATTTTAATTTCCTGGAGGTATATCATAAATGGTAATATGGCCTTGTTATTTGGGAGCTATTCTCTTTATATTGTAGGATAAAACAATTAAATATTTATGATAAGCTTGTTGAGAATATACAATAAAGGTAATGCAGTCCATGTCTCTTACAGGGCTAGCTACCAACCCAAAAGGAAAACAGTAAAAAGGAAAACAATTAAGTAACTTATTTTGAAAAGTTGCATCTGTTTTTATACATTTTGTTTCACACTTTCATCTAATCCAAAATTTATTATTTAATTAAATATTTTGTATGTTTTAGTTCAAAAAGGGGAAGATAATAATAGCTTTTACAGAGACAGCATTGAAAGTCAAAAAACAAGGGACAAAGAAGAAGAAATGTGGAGGACTAGTGACTGAAAATATCATTACAACAGAAAAAATTCAGAAATGACTCCACAGTTCAAGCTCTGCTCACGAGAAGAATTGTAGCTATCTAAAGAAACAATAAAATGAGAACAAAGGCTCCTTTGGTGGCAAAAGTACTTTCTGTCTTAGACATAATTTTAGTTGGATATTTCCAGGAAGCAATGAGAAGTGTAAAGAATTACCAGGGAAAAGAGTTCAGAATCCTCAGAAGCCAAGGAAAGGCTTTGGTAGAAATCCTCATGTAAGAGTTAA